GGACTTGACACCAAGCAGTCCTGCCAATAGATGTTATCCACATTGCGCGACGTTCCGGATCTTTTGAAAACAGTGGAATATAACTGAAAATCCATTTCGTTGTCTATACTCTAGGTACAGCCAACGGAACAATACGAAATACCCATTTCCAACAGCCAAACAAAACGGAAACGTATGATCCGACTTGCAACTGACAGGAGTCAAATGGACGTTTTTTTGCCGTACATCAAACAAAGTCACGTGACCCGTGCAAGTCCTCTATAGCGGAAGCACGAAATGTAATATTGCTGTTCAATTCACCAATACCACTATCCGCTATCTCTCTTTCTTCTATGTCTTCTATAATCTATATTGTACTTTTTTATTCACCTAATAGAAATGTGCAGTTTTGTCAATTTTCATCGGAAATCCAAGTTTTTGCTCGTGGTTATTTACCGACCTCTAGTGTTTACGGATATTTATTCTTCTGTTGGTGCAAAAGTTACGGTACTCTAGTCCACAATTTCAGTTTCGAGTTTTGGGAGGCTTTTGTTCGGTTCAGGTATTATTGTATCGCAAAGTTTCTTTTACAACTTTGCTTCAGGTTGAATAAAAAACGGTAAAAAGTTACCGTGGAGATAAGTAGGGCATTTAGAAACAATTGAATTTTGTTGTAGAGCAGGGTTACTCCAGCCCACAATTCTGGTTATGCCAACCGACATTTCTGTTCAGCGGTCGGCACATTTGATTGTAGGGATTGGTTTTGATGTAAAAGAACATGTTATTAGTCGCGTAACTAAATTCATTGGGGTAACCTTGCTTACAATCCCGTAATCGCTGTAAATAGTCTATATGTATGATTAACCCTCTGATCACCATGTAATTGTGGGCTAGAGCAGTGGTTCCCAAACTTTTTTGACCATCGCCCCCTACAGTAGTTTATACAGTGGGCGGACAACTCGACTACACGGACAACTCGACTACCTAGAGGGGGTGGAGGCTAACTCGCCATTAGGCAGTGAGGGCTAACTCGCCATGAGACGGCGGTTGGTGGTTAATAGTTAATACTAACAACTTATATATATATTTAGCGTTGTTGTTGATACTCATACGATCAATTAATATGATGATATATTTAGCATGCTTAGATGAAAATGATAAGTTGAGACATCCTTTGCGCGTCGGGTACGGTACGTCGAGACCTAAAACACCACCGTAGAAAATGCCAAAAGACTGACAACTCACCAGGCCTCTAGGTAGACATATAAACATAATCTCCCATTACAAGGAGAGCCTTCGCGCAGTTGCAGGCTAACCCGTTAACCGCCGTCGCATGGCGAGTGGTCCATGGCGAGTTAGCCGTCAGCCCCTAGAGGCCTGGTGAGTTGTCCGTCTTTTGGCATTTCTACGGTGGTGTTTTAGGTCTATAAATGCGTTTTTGATATTTTTAGTGCTCAAATGTTGAGAAAAATACATAAATATGCTAGTCGAGTTGTCTTCACCTCGAGCATAAATGACGTCACATCGCAGAGCGTTTGCTCAACTGGTGAGTTGACGGCCTGTCGGGCGACTGCCGTAGGCGAGTTTAGACTACTGCAACCATAGACTACTGAGCTCACATTCATAAATATTTAAGTGTTACTGTGAAGTATAAAGGTTTTAATATATTTAAAGGTGCTCATTCAAAACTTTTAATACCAATAAAGTTCAAAAAATTAAACGAACACAGTCCTATAAGTCAACAGTCTAACTTCGCTAACGTTACTCCAATTTCGTCTGTAGACTGTATAAGCCACTTATACAAATAAAAATGCTTTCTAGAGCATATTTATGTATTTTTCTCAACATTTGAGGACTAAAAATATCAAAAACGCGTTTCTATAGACCTAAAACACCACCGTAGAAAATGCCAAAAGACTGACAACTCACCAGGCCTCTAGGTCAGTAGGTAGTCGAGTTGTCCGTGTAGTCGAGTTGTCCGTCAGCCGTTTATACAACTTCATCGCCCCCCTGCACTACAAAAAATGTAAAGTCTGAAACGAATATATTACAGACCAAAAAGGAAGGCAAATCATAGTTTATAGTGTTTTTTAATTAGATGGATGAGCTTGGTGTTCTTCAACAAGTTATTTATTATATCTAAAATTAACCCGTTTACTGATGAAAAGGCGATTTCGTTGTTTTGATAGCAATAGTAGCACGGTTGAAAACCCCCTTTTCACCATATAATAGGTCAGAAATGAAATAATTCAGGGTTCTACCTCCATAAAAACCGCCGTGTACGGTACTTGCATTATAGCATTTCACTCCCTAAATTCACCCCATTTCCACAAAATAATGAAAACAAAGTTAATTTTCCCAAATTTATAATGATGATTATCGTACATCTAATTCATTCCTACAGCCAAGACAGCCTTTTGACCTGTACCAAAATACTTCGGTAAAATTCATCCCCGATTCCTCAGTCTACCACGATCTCCAGTTCATAGAATTAATCAGCCATTTGTTTTTGGATTCATGGACTCGGATGTGGAAGAAGTCGTGACCGACTATCGGCTACGGCCCAGGGGCAGCAAATTTTATGTCACTCGCGGGACAAAATTCAGAGTTGCTAGTCTTTTGCGGGTCGCTTTTATTTTTTTAAAGTTAAAAACGGAACAGTGCGCAAAAACTGCGACAATTCGTGAATTCAACTCAGTCGTCTTATTAAAAAATTATTACAATGACATTTAATGTGACACTGTCTTGTTGCTGCATCACGCTTGATAGCTTAGCGACACCAAGATTGGTACTTTTTCCAAATGGGCGTCACTAATTCATCACCTAGTTCTCTTTGCTTGTTCTTTGTAATGTTCATTTTCGGAAATAAATTTGCGCACAAATATGTACTTCCAAACATCGAAGTGAGTATTTTCGCATGGTTTGTGAAATTTTGATAAAGATATTCTTTAACATTTTTACAATAATTAAGCAGTGATTGAACCTCTCGAATAGAATATGAATTTTATTTCCCTATTGCATTGCAATATACTGATATATTCGAATATTTACTGCGCTATTGAACCCCTGCCCTCAGGCCTCAGCATCAACTTTTCTTCGTGTTTCCATTTGTCTAATTATAATTAAATTGTAGGCTCGTTAAACGAGTAGCTGGTCAATGGAATTTTCAGGATATAATAAAATTTAGTCTAACTAAAGGAGGCTCACGATAAATTCTGTTGTCTAAAAAATATAATTTACTCCTCGAGCGTAGATTATAAATAAAATTAATTCATCGTCAAAACCGCTGTTTGGATGTTTCCCCAGGCATACCCTTCCTTGTTTACTTTGTGGCATTGCCCAATCAGCAATCAGCAAGATGCAAAAATAAACGTAACAATGCCCCCTTCCGCATCCGCTCAGACACACCCTCATTTTCGCGTTTTTTTTAAATATATTTGACTATTTGTTAGTTTTTAGTTGTTTTTTGGAAATTTTAATATAAGTCAATGATTACTTTGTCTTCCTATGAGTTTCAGTTTAAATACAGTAATCAAAAAGTGTAAAATAATATGTGATAGACTAGGCTAAAATTCTTTATCGTCACTTTTAAAAAACAGGAAGAATTTTTCGCGGTCAAAGGTCGGGGAAAGGTCCATTCAGTGAATCGTCCATGAGCAGATTATTTTACTCCGGCCGTATTTTGCCGAGCGATACGCGAACTACCGTAACTTACTGCGAAGACGAGTCCAGTAATCCTTTGGCGTGTGATAATCGCCCCCGTGATTCAAGCATGCGAATGCACACAGAGTACAGAATTAAGTGCACGATGCGCCGAACAAAATCAGGTTTCGTGAAATCGCCCCCTTCGACTTTTTCGCCCCCATCTGTATCATTTTCGCCCACCGGGGGGCGATATCGCCCACTTTGGGAATCACTGGGCTAGAGTAAGGTAACCTTGGTCTGTTTAGGTATCGTAATTTAGGTTTCGTTCCGATAATTGCAGGACAGCAGGAACTTGTTTTTACCACTGTCCCCCAAAGTTTGCTGTTTTACCTGGAAAATCACCTAGATGTAGGGTGGTGTAGCCAGTCTGCGGACGATTTCATTCAAACCGCTATAAAACAAAAACCAATATTTCTAACCCGTTAATTTTTTCACCGTAGGTGCATTGGCATTTATTCTACACGCTGAACGTCGAATTAACTTCCTACGACCAGGGGTTAAAGCTATACAAACCACCAAAGTACGACACTCTGAAGACGTATTTGCGACCGAACGACCAGTGTGCGATCACGGATTTCAAGCCTTGAACATCGTTTCTGCTACGTCGAGACTAGGGCATACGCAGCCATGCATGAAAAAATGGGCTTCTAATTGCATTTCTGACCGTCATATATTTTAAGAACACGGTTATTTCGAACAAAATTCTTCAAATTATAAACAAAGCACCGCATCACAGCAATCAAACAGACAAAAACACGGTGGTCGCAAATTAGTTGACAAAGATATTATTGACGTATTGGAAATGCGCACCCCCCTACTCCCCCTCCTTTGAATGTAGAAACGCGAAACTTTAAAGATGGTTAAAAGAAACACAACTCTACCCACCTGCCAAGTTTCATCTCTTATATCTGTATGGATTTTCAAGCTTTTTTAAAGGAACAATGGGAAGTTGGCGACATGGTAAAATGGTCCGTTTTTTTTCTTCGGTCAGGTTTTCGGTCGTAACTTTTTTATTTGTGGCCGCATTTTAGTGTAATTTCGCAGAGCTACGTGGGATAAGTTGACGATAACGTGTGAGAAATATCGTCGCGGTTCGTTAATTTTTTCGGCATTAATTTAATCGATAAAGTTGATGGTCGCAGATAGGTCATGGCCGCAAAGTGGGTAAGCCACCCTATATAAAATGTCCTTTGAAAGACAGAAAGATATCTTTGGTAGGTTTATGTAAAAATTCTTCCCAGTTCCGGTTATTTATGGTCTGTTCCGGTTATTAAAGGAACCCATTATCTGTAGACTATACCGGAATATTAATTTTTTATTTGTGCCACAATTGCAGAAAGTATTTGTTAGGCAAAAACAAGTAAAATGCCTTCGTCTTTTGTCCTTCGAAGGATACCTGTTATGCTTCCAAGCATACAGCTATACACAGTAGCAAGCATTCTATTGCTTGTATTAGTTGTTTTTTGGGCTGATAAGGAACACACAAGAATGAATTCAAAACAATCAGAAAACCCATCAATGACTGTTGATAAGTTTCATACACATCAACAACCAGATGTTGAAATGTCCTCTGTTCCTGAACGAGGCATGTTCGGTATATCTTATGTTCAAGGTAGGCTACCAAGCTTTTGAAGTTATTAATTTGTCATATTACTGTATTACGATTGGCTTGTAAATGGAAAATCGACTGCATGTAGATGTCCATTGTATGTATCATCCTTTACCATACACCAAGATCTATAATATTGATTTTTTTTTCATGGAGCAAACGTTCTCTGTGAAAACCTTGTTTATTTGTATTTGACTACTACTTTTTTGTTTAAAAACCCGTTATTTCTAGTCGACCATTCATTCCAAGTGCATAACTCTTGATTTTGTATTTCATTTTCTGACATAAAAAAATATTGTCTAGTCCAGGGTGGTCCAAACCCAGGCCCATGTGGCTCGCCGCTTCATTATCTGTGGCCCATGCTGCATTCGGAGAAGTAATCAAAAAATCGCACTTAATGTTTTTTCGTCATAAAATTAACCAGAAAAATCTTTTGACATATTGTTACACCACCAATGTCTCTGAATTGTCCGATGTTATGGCTAGCTGAGGCAACTAGTGAAGTTGAATGATGTTCTTGGCAGTCCTTCTATCTTTTTGGTCAGGAATATGCTAACAATTTTAGCATCATAAAGAGCTTAAGTTCAATGCGGATTCTTTTAGCCTAGGTTGGCTGTGCCTGATAACTAAATGTTATTGTCATGGTCTAACAATATAATTCATGTTGGGTGTTTATTGCGACCATCCTAAACAGAATTACAAAAAATGCTGCCTATATTAGTAATTACCCTCGGCCTTGATGTTCGGAAGCATTTACATTTGCAGAAACACTTTCTGTTTTACAGAGTTCGAAATCTTACCATAAATAAAAATATAGAAAGACTTTTGTATGTTTCAGTAAGTTTTTGGTGGTTTGGCACTATTGTGGCCTGCGAACAATGCAAAAATAATTGTGTGGCCTCCGGAGCCAACAACCTTGGACCACCCTGGTCTATTCAATAAAATGTGAAGCCAAATACTTTTTTATACAATTTTTATTAATGTGAACTATGAAGGTTTTCAGTCGTGGATAAACTCGATCATATTATGAGCAGATTGTAACTTGGTGGGATGCCAATATCCTCGGTTACATAATAAATCTTTTCATCATCCAACTGTCTTTTGTTATTATAAAAATTTAGCATTGTTGTGTGATTTAACTGTAGTTATGTGAACTAGTCACAATCTTCTTTAGGCATTCAACTCCATATTTATATATTGAAATACCATCTTCAAAAGACCAGTTTGATCCATGAGTCATTATAGGTATTTGTAAAAGCAAGTGAGAATATAAATTTGCAATATGGGCAAATCTGGTTCTAAGGACACATCTAATCTGATTTACTGTAAACCTGTCAAAGTGTTAATGATTTCACCCAGATAGGATAGGATCTATTCAAGTATCATCAAGTTTGATCAAATCTAAGAATTGATGTGTAAATTTGCAGTTGTAAAATAAAATAAATTGTTCTGAAAGTTGTATTTCATTGGTTGTTCGTGTGAGGAGAATATGGGGCACGATACGGTAGAGCAGACCCTATAGATAGGCCAAACTAACATAGATATTATATAAGTTGATTTCTGGATTGCCAATGTTTTCTTTTTTTCAGGAGTTGTAATAATCATGCTCGATGAGCCCCTTACTCTTGGTGTGTTAATCAATGCTGCTTATTGTTTATTTGCACTTGGCGCAAAATTTATTCTCAAAGTTGTATTTGGAAACTTGAGAGTTGTAGAAAGACAACATATTAAGGTTTGATATATTCCATGGCTATTACCATTTTTTTTTCTCTGTGTAAAACTTTCTAAAAAAGTTTGAATGTGATCTGATTGACTAAACTAATGTAATTTTTAAATTCTTGTAAACCTTAAAAATTGTATCTGATCATGCCATGCACTGGATTTATTTTGTCGCATAACATTTTATTGTTTTTTGAGTGCCCACAAGGGTGAATGTAAAATTTCTATTTTAAACTAGGATAAATTAATAGTAATATTTTTATGTTTTGAATTAGTTTGTACTGTAGCCTTTCACTTTTTATGTGGTTTATAGAATTGAAGGAAAAGATATTTTGGAACAGTTCAGAAAAAAAGATATCCATTGTATTGTTTTTGTTAATAGTGCAATTTTGATTCTTATGAACTTAATTAAATATTTAAAAATTGAAATGGAGAACATAACATAGAATGGTGGATGTATTCTAACTGAATAATGATGAATATAATATAAAGTTGTACTGATATTGCATCATACCATGTCTCATTTCTGAATATGTTAATTTAATGCCCTTATATAAAATCAATAGGCATGAGTCAGCTTGTTTGCTGTACTGTCTGCCTCATGCCATCAATTCAATGTTTACTGAGAGAAAACAACCATTTTTCGATGTTACATTATTTTTGTTGTAAAATTTTAAAGATACGTTAAGATGTCATTATTAAAATATATTTTATATTGATAAAATCATGGTATTAGGTATGTATGTTTATTTGCCTCAAAAATGTAACAATCTCTGAATAATAATTAAACAGTAAAACAGAGACTGGATACATGTTCCAGACCTTACCCAACACCCCTAACAATTATAACAGCAGTTTAGGACTGTTGCGTTATAATAGGACAACGGGCATGAAATATGCTATACAAATACAACTCAAGTAAAATACACAAGACAAAGAGGTACGACACAACGACGATATGTATAATTTAGTCAGTTTGTTTATGTCCATGTCACAGTTTATGGCTTCCATTACAAAATGTTCAATAGAAAATTTAACTGATTATTTTTATATTGGCAACAGGACAAATTCTGGAACTTTGTATTCTACAAATTCATATTTGTGTTTGGAGTGATGAATGTTCTTACACTGAATGAGGTCTTATTATGGGTCGGTTGGTATACCGCAATTGCAGCTTTGCTTCTTCTCACAAAGCTATCTAAAGACAGATTTGATTTTTTATCATTTTCTCCAAACACTCCAACACAGTTCCACTGGAAAGTAAGATGAAGTATTTGATGCATATAATTAGCAAAATTAAACTATGCGTGCAACAAACAAATAAATCAAGTTCTGTAAGCAGAGCCTTCATTCATCAAAATTTTTTAAATAAAGCAAATGATGCTAAGCTAGTATTTGTCATTAAAAAATGGCCAGTAATTTGAATTTCAACTTGATTCAATAATATTTGTTTTCAAATAATCCAACTTATCTTATGAATTGAGGAATAGTACCATAAGATTGGGGAATCATTTTTTCATTCATGATGAGAACAATTACATCTTGGCATATTTAAGAAACCTAAAATTATGGATAACTTTTTTTAAATGGGAGTCCATCTATGATCTGCCATTTACAAAGTATATTATCTTCAGGTTGTCGGTCTTTTATGCTTGGTGATGTGTTGTGGTGTAGGTTTATCATGGACTTGTCTTTCTCGAAAACAACCTTTTTACCCAATATCGCAAGAATTTCACTCTTTAATATTCATGTTATCTGAATGTGTAATCATAATGGTAAAAGCTCTCCATGTTCTCATGAGGTGAGATATTTTATCTAATAAGTTATTCAGAAATATTATTAAATATAATATATCCAGGTTAATTTTTTGATATTTATGTTCTTGACTTACTACCTGTATTTATTTTCAAACTTATTCTTTATTCATACATAAACCAGAATGATGGAAAAATAGATGCATATTTTCCATCTTTCATCCTCTGAGGCAGAGGTTCCCAACTTTGTTTCAAGTGACCCAAACTTTTAAAAAATAAATTTTGTAAAATCTTGCGTCCCTCACCCTAGTATAATATGCTTTAAAAATACTAAACGACATGTGTTCTGTTATGATCGCAAAATTGAATGCCTAATATAAGCAATCAATCAGAAATGACCTAACAGTGGAACATCTGTGCTCGTATTGAAATCAAGGCGTGACTATAGTTTTAAATTAGTAATGCTTATCTTTTTCTTTTTAGATATGGAATTCACTTGTATGACATTCGCCGTGAGGATTTGTGGGAGCAAAAAGCAACTATAGTTTACCACACTGATTTGTTTATGGAACTACTTTCTCTCACAGTTAATTTCATTCATCACCTACACATGTTGTTCTCTGGAAATATTTGGCTGTCAATGGCAAGCTTGGTTATCTGTATGCAGGTATGTATCGAAATCATTCAAATTCATGTAAAGTATTTAATTAACCATATACAGATTTCTCTGATGGATTTATTGATGAAAAGTGATTCAGATATTGCAGTCTTATTATGTAGTTTTGTGATGAGATACTATAATCATATTTGTTTATTAGGCCTATTGAATAATTTCATGCCTCCAAATAACTTTCGATGCTTTTTTGTCTAGTTTTTTTAGGACTCTCTGGAATTAAAACATCAGGCCAGGCAGCTTATATTAAGACATGTAACTCAAAAAACTATTCAAACCATATTGCTTTTCAGCTTCGTTACATATTCTCAGAGATTCAAAAAAGAATAAGACGTCATAAAAACTATTGCAGAGTAGTTGCGAACATGGAAGCCAAGTTTGCTCAAGCAACATCCGAAGAACTAAGAGAAAATGGTATGTTATATGAAACAAGCTCATAACAGAATATAAATAATATTATCATCAGTTTGTAATAGATTTTCTGTGGTGCATTGTGTATAAAGCCTATTTAGCCAAATCCGCAATGATCAAAGTTTTTATTACTCATTTTGCCTTCATAACGACAATGTGACTAATGTAATATCAAATAAAAAATTGAAAAACAAAGTCGAGTGAGAAAAAAAAATTATTTAAACCTTTTTTTCAGAGGACAGTTGTGCAATTTGTTGGGATATAATGGATTCCGCCAGAAAACTACCATGTGGACATTTATTTCATAGTGGTTGCCTGCGATCTTGGCTCGAACAGGATACAACATGTCCAACATGCAGGTGTGTTTGGAATTGTTCACATTTCCGGCATATTTTATTCTAACTAAAGTTATTGGACGCTCCAGAAGGGTGTGTACCAATATGCAGTTAATCAAGTTGTGTAAAGGGATGGAAGCTTATGGGCAGGGGGTATATTCACTTGGCTGACACAGACCGTCTCCGAACTCATGTTAGAACTAAAGTAAGGAAATTGGAATAAAATTATGACCTTACCCTAACCTGGTTCACACACTAAGGGAATGAGTACCAGTTATTTAATATGTATTTCCTGTTTTTGTGGAACTTTTTTTGTTAATTTGAAGAACAGATATCCCAAAACATGAGAAATTGATGTTCGTGATCCAGATACATAAATAGAAAATCTACTGGGACGTCTTGTTGGATTTCAAATGCGTTATGAATTTTGCAGAAGGAATTATAAAAATTTAGATAAATTATATAATAGCTGTTATATGCAAGTGTATATGATAATAACTTGAATTTGAAAACATTATTATTTATTAATAATAAGGAGTTCAGTTGTAAAAATAAAATGAGATGTCATAACTTGTGAAGATGGGGACAACCATAGCTCAGTTAACCAGACATGGCCTGTCTGCTCTGTACTCTGAGGGCAATCACTTACTATACTATATCATAAACTGTGAATAGTTGAACAAGACAATAAATGCCTCACAGGCAAAAAAGTTCAATCATCAATATATGTATACCAAATTAAAGAGGTCTATTTTTAGCTAATATCAATACTGGGAAAATTACTGCTACCTGATACAGCCAACTTGGTACAAAAAGTAGCTGATTTTGTTGAAAAGTAATTTGAGTTATTATGATCATTTTTATAGATTCTCTGGCGTTCCTCTGGTTTCATTTGACAGCTATTCATCTATGATAAATGACTTGCTCAGTCATTTCAATTTATTTTTTTTTTTAAAAACAGAAAACAACTTGATGTTCGTAACTCCAACAATGCAGATAGAAATCAAGAGGCAAATCAACCTGCAGAGAATGGTTTTAAACAATTTTTATTTATATCTAGTTTCTCTCAAAATGAATCAACCATTATTGTTGGCAATTGGCATTGATTTTTATTTATCAAGCACCGTACTAGCATTGTAAAATCATTTAGTGTCACATGCATTGCTCAGGAAGGAAAGCAACCCCCATCTCAAAATTAACACATACACTGAAATAATAAAATAACGCTGAAATGACAGACCATATTGAAACTATACAGAATTACTCTTATATGCACCTGTTATTGCTTTATTTCTGAAACAACGTGAATATGAAAAATGAAAATTTTGAAGCACATGCCTCATTTAAACAGTGGAAGTTTTGGATTAATTAATTTGTACATCATTATTGCTTGTTAAAGGAAATTCTCATGCTATTGCTAATTCCCATTGCAGCGAACAATTGAAATTTAACTGTTGTGACCATTTACTGATTGAATACCTTTTATAACATCATGATTTTGTGTAGCATTGAGCATTTTTGTGCCATCCTCCAATAGTTATGTGACAGATTTTCAGTATATCTCCTTGTTTATTATATAGGCTACAATGTTTTTGTCTGCGCCATCACTGCAACCAATATACTAAATGCCATTTTTCTTTAACTTTTATTATGTGTAGTTTTGTTTCACTTGTCCCACAGATGGCAATAATGGAGCAGAAAATAGGGTCAACAATGAACATCAAAATCATTTCTGGCATTTTGATGGATCGAGGTTTGCTAGCTGGTTGCCAAGTTTTTCACTGGAAGTTACACACACACCAGTCATGGCTGCAAGAGGTAATGCATTGTTGAATCAGTATGTGGCATTAATAAAAGTACTTTTTATGTACACGTCAGGGGCGGACACCCGGGGATCGCCCCCCCAATAATTTCGCAAAAAAATTTAAATTAAACAGTTTTAACGCAAACGCAATTAAACGGTTAATAGTTGCCGATATTATAACTGTTTTCTTACAATAATGTGGACCAGGGCGCCTTCGGAGCACCTCACATTTGAAAAACATGTGCGCCCGCACGGGTAATACTCCGTCTTCAAAAGCACCGCCGATCACGCGCCACGGTTTTGCACAACTATTTCATTTTTGTACAATTTAATAGGATTTTCTCATTGTCAAAATTATTCAATAGTGTTATTGTTGGCACTTGCGAGAGAAGTGAAAGAGGCAAACTGTGTTTCATTACAACAATTAATTATTATCGCTAAAAAATTAACTAGATCTAAAGTTGTTATAAACAATTTTCACCGATGGACATATCTTTTCACGTTATGGATTTCGTGCAAGGCCCAGCATAATTTGCGGGCAAAGATCAAAGCATTTACTATGTCGAAAAGTTGAAAGGCGGCAATATAATATACTAAAAATAATACTGTAAATAATATGAGTTTTGTTGAGACCTGCGACAGTCTAAAAACGCTTCTCTAGGCATCGAAAATCGCAAAATTTCATGTGCCTACGGCACAAATTATGTTTGCTTGACCTTTAAAAACATTTCGTCACTAAAATCGAAACACGGTCAATTGTGAGCGGGATTTGCCTTTTTATCCATTACTTTTAAATTGACGTTGAAAATTTTCGTGTTAATATTAAACAAAGCTGAGAACGGGACTTTTCCCCGGTTTGTGATGATATATAAGATAACTAAAGTATATTCGATCACTTTTTGTATTTATTTATGTATTTTTATTGTACTGAAATAACTTTTACTACGTGAGAATTGACAGAAAATTTACGGATTTTTCGAAAGGTTTTATCTTTAAAAATAATCGGAGTGACAACATTGCGATTGAGCGGAGCCAGTGTGACAAGTACATCTCAAATTTATCGAATGCGCAAAATAGCAAAAATACGGATCATAACAATATATAAACGGGCAGTTTACCACACATTTTTATGTCCGCAGATTGATAACAAGTGGCGTAATCGCGGCGACTGTTCCGCGTGAATTTCGAGGCGGTGAATTTGTATTTTTGATTTACTAGTATACTTTATAATTATTTTCATTGTATGAATTAAAATTGTACTATATGGGATTTTATATCAGATATCGAGATTTTTGTAACGGCGATAACGAGTTCGGAAGATTGCAAAAATACGTATCAAAATTAAATACATCAGGCAGCTTATCTCATATTTTCATGTCCACATATCGCCGTGGTACTTTAGTTTAGTAATATTTTTATTTGGACGTAAGAAGTCGCAACCGCGAGTTACGTTGCACACAATTAAATTAATATATAAGGACATTTTAGAATCTCTTGGCTGTCATGGATCGACAGAAAAATCAATATACGCTTCAAATAGGCCCAAAAAAACCCTGCGAAGTCATTGCGTGAATCCTGAATGTTATTTCGAGTTCAAATGATGATTTAATAAATCGGCAATAATGGCAATTCTACTAGTCAAATGATAATTCCTTGGTAAAATTTAGGAAAAAAATTCGCACAATGGCTTGTTACCTTGTTTTGCATTTCTAATTTTACGAAACGGCGTTAGTGGGCTTTATGCAGAACTAGGAATTGAAACAATAACCTAATACGACTCCTCAAATTTGTTATTTTCTGTTTGTTAGCAAGAGCCGTGGGCTAATTCTCGTGGAATTCAAGAAATTGGTTCAGTGACGCGCAAGTTCCGTGTCCGAGCAAAGCAGCATAGGTAATCTATATATGAGTAGCAAAATGACATGCTAATACTTAGAAAATGCCATCGACAGGTTATTGATATGTGACGATACACGGCGCGGTGTTTTTCGGTAGGCGATCCGAGTTCGCCCCCTCAAAATTATGGAAAGTGTCCGCCCCTGGTACACGTTGAGTTTTATGTTTCCCTGTTGTAAACTAAAGCCTGACATTAGGGGGGAATCAGTTTTGGGGATGTGCATTTTTGATTGATAATATTATTATTTTTATCGTCTCTCTTTTTATTTTTTCAAATGAACTTAGTTTTGCGAGCAAAATAAAAATGAATCGAGATGTCCGTGGTGGCACAAGACTTGATACTCGTATAGATGGATAATTGAGATAGGTAGAAGTGGCAAAAATGAGCTTATCTAATTAACGATGTCAATGGGCTATATGACACTCACACTGGCAAAAAACAGTCGGAATTTTTAGCTAAAATTAACTGCGTCAAAAAGTGTGTGCCTTGTTAAATACTTTGATTTTACTGTAGGATTTGAACATTTCACTGGGCGTCTAGTTGCTCTTTTTTTCTGTACTTTCCAAGATACACCACAATTCATAAGTATGAAAATCATGTAATATTTATTAATTCTCTATTCTCAGAAGAAAGAGAACTAGAATTTTAATCATACCACAGTGCCATTTTTTTTTATTCATATCTGCTTCATTATGATAATATTATTTATTAAGCTCGATTCCTATGCCCTTGGAGGATTTCTGAAATGTAAATAAAATTAATGCCATGTGACATTTATTAAGAATGTATTCACAATTCCAGATCCAAAATTTTTTTTAAGAATGTATTTGGAATTGGAATAGTCCAGTATTCGATTATGGCCTTCCTCGGCTCGGCGGTAATGGCGAAGCCTAAGGAATATGCTCACCGCTAGAGCTTGACCGATATCACTCACAGCGTTTCATTGTGAAAGAGGCGATTTTAGGTCGTTAGAAAACTCTAGTTATATAAATAGCATGGGTTTAATATTGACCAAAAGTTTCCATGGTATGAGTTACTTGTATGGAAAAAACTCATTAAGTTGTAACCAGATAAGAAATGACATGTCCTACTCCACTTTGTATTTGCTATTTAGTGATCCTTTCCATCCTTGGCCAAGTAATGTTTCGAATATGTAAACATTTTACTCGACTATGCATGGCCGTTGAGCCAAGAGTAGATCGAAAAATCAATCGTGAATTTCGTTGTAACAATACACACTGACTCGTTCACGAGTTGTTGCATATATTATCATCAAAAATGATTACCATTGTTAAATTTTGAAGCATTTGGGCAGTAATCATTACGGTAATCCTTAAGGCATGACATAATCAAATCAGCCCTATGCAGGGGTTCCGCACCTTTTTTCTGTTAAGTACCCCCCCCCCCCCCCCCCAGTCAGGAAACAATCAACACGAACCCACGGTACAATTTGCTGCAACGACACTTTATTGACCATTTATTCACTGCTGTAACTAAATTAAATCTTCATGTTAATGTTTTGGCCTTCTCCTCCACCTTACTAATGAATTCTTCAAATCTCTTTAAGTTTCAATTTAGCATATCACTTTTAAATGCAATGCTCGCAGCACATTGTCTTTTGAGATTTCACAGTTTAGCTGAAAAGCCGTGCATTTCACATTGTTGTGTCACAATCACAACAACGCTAGATCAGGGAAAATCTACGCTGAGTTTCAATTGGCATGCATTTTCATCTGGTAGTTACTCAGTTTTCCTTTGTTGAAGGATATTGTAAAAAAAAACACAAAAACTCGACTGCCATGTGCCATCCAAGAGATTTCCAGGGGTTCACGAACCCCACGTTGAGAACCCCTGCCTTAACGTATTCGACAGCTGTCGCTGATGTGAACGCAAGGGTATACTAGAAATATTAAACTTCGATATCCAGCGACCCCTTTTTCTTGCAAAAAAAAGAAAGGGCGGGAATATAGAATGTCAACATTAGGATATCGCCGCCGAACCGATCTCGGTGACAAAGACAATAAGCGATTATGATGAAATTAACCAGTACGCTTTATTGCCGACTTTTCAATGTTTCTATTGATTTCCAAACGGAGTATCGACCTCCGACGTTCTGGATCCCTGGTATGTATGAAAAATATTCATTATTCGACTATTCGGTATTCGCTAAAAATATTCAAATTATTCCATTCGAAAAAAGATTTGATTTTGCCCACCCTAGACTAACAGCCATTTAATTTGGCTTTGATTTCTTATAAGTTTGTCAAAGCGGGTCATAATCGTGGAGGATGCGAGGTGGGTAGCTGCTTGAGATGATCGCCAGATATCAGATACAATTTACTACTTTACTATTTAGATACCAGATACTATTTCCGATTACTGGAACAAAATTAAAATGCTCTAGAAATTAGAATTATCATTGAGTGATTTGATTTATACATAATATTCGGAAATGCGACAAAAAACTGAAAATCCACGGAATCCACATGATTACAGCCATGTCTAAAATCCTAGTTAGAGAATCACTGCTTTTGACTTTTATTATCAAAATTATTTGCCAAAAGCAGGAAAAAGTTTGAATGATTTTTTTCTAATAAATCGACTCGTTTTTTTGGACTTTTTATTTGGCGTCGTAATTCGTAACAAAGCGCAAGACTTTATTTAACTTATTTAATATCTATCTACCGGTATTTGTATTTATGTGAGACCCGTGACACAATACAAATGAATGCGTAAATTAGAAGCCTTTCAAGGGAATGGCGATAGAAAAGATAAAAAATCAGCTGAAAAGATATTCGAATACTTTGATATTTGATTCGTTTTGGACAACCCTGACTCCTCGACTTTGTTTGGGTGGTTCATCAAGTCCATGCATCTGCAACAAATAACTAGCTAACTAACCCCATATCCGACATGGACTGGTAACCAGACGAAAGTGCCTGGTTCACCATAAGATTGAGCCGTTTTATCGACTTTGCTCTCTCCGGTATAAATATGTAAATGCTATCCTTTGAAAGAATTCACCAGAGCTTGAATGTACTCAATTTTAGAATCTGGCGCATACGCTCTTCTAGTTTGCATATTACTTATTGATTTATTTAAAGACTTATCAAGAATCAATTACATTATTTAATATGCTGTGTTAAATCATAGGTGATAAATGCTTTACCAATAGGTGTTATCTCTGTACTGGCAGATACTTGATCTGAAAATGGTAGAGCATTGAATAATATTAACTCCTACTAATATTGAATATGCATTTTTCAATTTTAATAAACTGTAAAATTAATATCATAAATAGATGCAATATAAATCATCTTATACATATTGTATATATGTGTAAAATTGTTATTGGTGAGTTGTTTGCCTGAAATGGCAGTGTTTTCTATATATAGAATCTGAATAATAATGTTTATTCACTTTGGTAAATGATATATAGCATATATATAATTTTGCTCTAGGCGGTACCAATTTTCGTACTTTAAATTCCGTCAACCAGACAACTGGAAATTCGCAACTTGATAACATGGCAAGAGAGGTGCAAGCTATATTTCCGCAGGTATATTTTAATATGTTTATGACAAAGTTAATTATTTCCTATATATTTCTTGTATTGTGATATTAATTATTTTATGATTTATTGGATATTTCATCAGAAACTTTTCATTTTGACAACTAAGTTAGCACCAAGGAAGTTAATATTAACTGAAGACACATCTCTGCTGGTATAGTTGCTTTCATAAAATATTGAGGTGTTTTGTTCAAAAAAGTAACCTAGGTAACTGGCTCTATTTTGTGAAAAATTTTGTTTCACTTGCCAGATTTTAATCTGTAATATTTAATATAAATAAATATCACTGTGAATTCTATGAAAAACAGCAATGTCTCAGCAACAGCAATTATAGTTTATTTCTTATGAGAATGATTTTACTTAGTACTTGTTTCATAATAAATAGACATTGCATTCTGCTCATTTTTAGATTCCATTGAACGTTATATTGAATGATCTGAGAATAACAAGATCCGTGGAAACCACCACAGATAATATATTGGAGGGAAGAGTTTCCGTACCAACCAATGCTGTGATTTCGGGTTAATATCTATTTTGTTATTGTGAGATGATGTATTGTTCAAGTTTGAGACTCCACATCTTTATTCTTCTTTTTGAATAGCGCAGGAATTTTGGAGTCCCTAGACATTATGCATATGAGGAAATAGTGTGGATGAGCATCGCATGTAACCTTTGATATCGTAACTCTTTATCAGCCCAGTTATAATAGGGTCTTCGCCCATCGAATTTATTTGCTACTATATTCAGCTGCGCTTTTGATGTAATATTACTTTTCACAGTATTGTTATATTGTTTGTACTGTCAGTATTTTTTTTAAAATTCAAATAAAGTAGAGCAGTTCCATTTATTGAAGTTTACGAGAGAACGCAAGATTAAGCTACACCTTCCTGCAATTAATGGTAATATGTGATTTGTTTATCCAAAAGTCTCCCAACCTCCATTGCTTGACATTAGTGCTCTACTTAATCCTAATTGATTTCAATTGTTTTTCTTTAAAATACATAAGTATATTGCAATTTCAATAAGAGAATACAACTTCTACTTTCTAGCAATAATTATAACTAAACAGACTAAAATTATGACCATCTAGGTCAGGGGTGCACAACACGGGGCACGCGTGCCTGATTTGGCACTCCATACGCTCAAACGTGGCGGTTTTGTAAAAACTAATTTATTTATGATATACATTAAAATACAGAAATATCACGTTTATATCGAAAGACACTTGAATGTTCATGTTTATCCACAAATTGCTAGCTCATGGCCCTGTTTTCAGAAGGTTGTTGCTGAAAATAAGTAGGTAGGCTAGCCTACAGTAGCGAGCAGTTAGGTACCAGTAGGTGAAACGTGATTTTCCACTTATTGGAGATGGTAATAAGGTGTGTTTATGTCGGGATAATCTAAATCGGCGTATTCGTTCACACCAATGCGACTACTGTATGACTCGACCATATTATATTCACTTTGGTCTTCGATTGCAAAATCGTCTTCAAATCAGCCGTCATTCAGGACATTAAATGGTTTCAATAAATATTATGTGTTATTATTTAAATTTGTTTGATGTGTGTTTTACGGGAGTTCGTTTATAATACCAACGATTGTGCGTGGAAGATTATTTTGAAAAATTTGGCACGTATCCTCATTTGAGTTGTGCACCCTTGATCTAGGTACCGTAATCTTAATGATATATTTTTTCAATGTAATTCAGGACTTCCTCACCAACAGCCAAGAATGCCTCTTGAATCTCTACAGTTACTCAGACAATTATCTGCAGTAGCTGCACACGCTCGAGTAGGACAGCAGATACCCAATTTTCGACAACAGATGAACTATCAGAATTCTCCTGCGAGTAACTTTGGTTTACATTCACCTGCAAGTGAATCTTCATTTTCTAATTCCGTAAATACTGCCAACACTTCGGGAGAAACTGCAGAACCGGTTGTGCATTCCGATGTAAATCTCCAGCGACAGTATCAGTCAGATTTGGAAAATCTCCAACTTCGTCACAGGGTTACTACCTCTCATCCGGAAGATTTGCCATCAACCAGCAATATAACAAAAAATAATAATAATGTGATAACCTCGAATTCTACAACCCCCACTAATGTGGATGAAAATGCGCCATCATCTTCATTGTCAGTTAATGATCCATCACCTGCAAAATCAATGTCACTATTGACACACTTTCCTAAAGATCCAGCAGAACGTGAACAATTACTAAAACAACGAAAGGCTTTGCTTCTTAGGCAAGCACAGGAAAAATTCCTGAAATCCAACCAAGATTTAGTGAGACGTCCACCTACTCCTCCATCTGTGCCAAACATAAACGCATACCCTTTGCTAAATATTCGTAATCTTTTCACAGGTAGCAGTAATCACTCTGCCATGCCAAATTCGTTATCATATGTTGAAAGGCCTACTCATGAAATGCTGTTTAATTCAACCAATGTCTTGCGAAGCAATACGAATAGTGGCAATGATTCATTTTATGAGGATGAAACCGACTAGATGTGAGGGTTGAGGGCCTACATATTATCAGCCAAATTCAGTTCTGTAACTATGGGAAAATCGCTTACGTAATGACCTCATATTTGCATTAGTTTAAACCTATCAGTCACTCTGGTCATGCTAAAGCTTAGAATCAAAACGGAACTGTTCGAGGCATGCGAATTTCAATCGTGCTCAATATTACTTCCCTTTATTTCGAGGTATACTGCATTGTATCTCGGACACTCCAGTGAAAGTCCAGAAGCATCCATTATTGGACTCATTTAAAATTTAGTGGTGGCCCAAATTTTTGAACACAGTTAACTGAAATGTGCAATTCCATTACAAACTCAACATAGAAAACTGATCCCGATTCAAAACTCTACGATTCTGCATCTTCCAAATGCTAACTTCGAGACACTTTTTATGGCATTTTAAATCAGAAAGGCATACAATTACACACTATTTACCGTGCTGCAATCTTAGTATTACTACAGACAGTTGGCATGAAACCATTTGTATAAGTTATCAATTCGCTCTTCACTTACTTTCACAGGATGTAGGAATGATTTTGTGACAGATTTGGCTGCAATAAACTCATTGCTTTCTAAAAGTGAGTGCCATTGGTCATCATTACGACTATATGAAATTCTTGATTTTTCGACATAATTGAATATGAAATTTGTAAATTACATATGAGCCTGATTGGTAGTTTAATTTAATTCTCTCATATGCGATTGTTGTTTAGATTTATTTGTTTATGTAATGTGAATGTCAAAACAAACAGTCAGTCCAAGCTAACAAATATTCACATGAAAACAGTTTCTGTGATTTCATATTACTGTATTGTAATTTTTTGTTATCATCCTCGTGAAATATTGGTTTGTTCTCGGTCAATTTAACATACATCATTATTTTGTTGATTGAGGATCTATTTCAAAATATTCTGAAACTTATACCGTATGGAATGAAATATCGTGGAGTATCGAGTATTTTATGCATATATTCACTACTACATTTTTTGCTTGTAAAGTTGTATCAGTTAGACTGAAACAGGCAATTTATTGAAACATTTTAGTTGTGTATTTATTATCAAACTGCTGGCATCTAAGCACATTTCAACAGAAGCTTTATTAAAAGCACTGGGAGGTAGGAAAGAGTCTGGACTTTTCTGTTTAACTCGTGTTAGCATGTCTTTTTTCGCAACTAGTTCAAACGAAGATTGAACATCCAACTTTGGCTTGGGACTGCTCCAGCCAGAACTTGTACTTTGTCACATTTTTTTGAATTGGGCTTGACTCAATTTTAAGAGAACTTTTTAATGAGACATTTTGCTTGCGTTGTTAAATGCGGATTGTTCCATGTTATGGACAACAGAAGCATTTTTTTCAAAAGTGTATCCAGTTTAGTTATCTGTTATATCAACTGTAAGGGTGAATTGAAATAATCCTTTCCCTGTAGTCTATCTGTTCTGCATTTCTCTCGCTGTTAATTGGTATTTCTTGTTCCTTCATGTTGTTTTATTATAAGTATCAATCCGATAACAGTGCTTGTAATTAAGCGTACCCATGCTCTCGTTTCATTCATTCAGTCGGACGTCTTTGGAGCATGTCATATTCAATGCCTGAAGGCCAGCATTTGCACATAACACCAGAGTAAAGTTGAATGGTATTTTTATTTCGCAATTTGGTGTACATTTCTAAATAAAGTTCATTGCAATATAGTACTATACCTCCGTTGAAGCATTGACAAGTTAATTAAACCAGTTCTTAGTATGGATGCTTGGCGAACCACTGACCCGCGGGTTTCAGGGTGTCCCGCCGAGTGATAAAAATTGATGATAAAACCGGCATTATTTATATGTAACAATAAGTAAACTACTATTGCGTGCCGACAGTGCCGCTGCGGAATTGTAACCACAGTGAGAGAAGGCCATTTTCGGCGACGAGACAATAAAATTAAGAATAATAAAGGAATTCGCAATTAACGAGCCACGAAATTGTGTATTCTTGACTACTACAAAAAAAATGTTCATTTGGGCTGCGCATTATCGGGAACAATATCATACCGAAAAGAGCATCATCAATTTTGTCCCAGGCGCTACAGATAAAAAAAATGTTGTCAAACGCTTTCGCAGAATACACACTTTTTGATACCACTGAAATGCTTTAATACCACTGAAGATGAAAAACGTTAAACTCGCGCCCAATGTGCCATTTCATCGGCATAAACGATGCCCTGATGGTCGAACGTTTACTTTGAATGCAATTAATACGTTATGGTATTATCGAGGTTATTAAAATGCATTTGGCGCAGTGGCGGCGCGTGGTCATTTTGACAACCGGGGCAAGCTACTGCGGGACCAAGTCACCCCCATCTACGGGGACAGGATGAGCGCTGTAAGTTCTCCCATCATTTTATGAGTATAAAAATCATTCCATCGGTAACAACCAATCGGCAAAAGCGACAATTTTTAACGATAAGAAAGTGTTTTTAAAACCGGTCTAAGTCAAGGGATTAATAAATATAGACATAGTTTATTTTGAAACCTCTTTCAAAAGGAAAGGCAATATTTACCCAGATAAATACAATGACATATTAACAGAAACACTCGGGGAAAGCAGACAAAACCTAAAATAAGGTTTAAAACGTTACTATGAAGAAAGGAAATATAATGCAAAGATAAAGACATGCGTCGCTCACTCATAGATATATATGCTGCTAGACTTCTACTGCTTGAACATATATGCAACACGCCGCGGTTTCTTGGAAGCAAAATGCTCAATAACGCGCTGATTAAAGTCATGCATCCCAGAAATAACGTCTTTGTGAATGGGTAAAACAGCCAAGGAATTTAATCTATCTTGCTTCATTGTGTTTCTGAGATACGTTTTAATACGCTTCAGCGTGCTGAATGTTCGCTCTGCGTCGGCGGAAGAAATAGGCGTCGTCAAAATGATGTCCAGAAATTTTGCAGACGCCGCAAAGGTAGTTACTAGAGTGTTATCTATGAGGAACCCATAGAGCGCGCAAATTGATGTGATGTTCAAAAAAGTTTGATTGGTGTATATACATCGTAATTCATTTTCCAATTTACCCACGTTTATCATGGGGTAAAAATTGGAGACAGTAGCCAACAAATGGATGGGAAATTGATGTGCAAATTTTGAAAAAATTTTGGGGTTCATTAAAGAGAACGCAGCAAGGTGTTCAGTGCGCAGACGATCGCCTATTTGATTCAGCAGAATGTCACAGCATTCCTTTGCAGACAAAATCAAACGCTGCGTTGTTTGCCCGCGGCGTAAAGAAGCACTCCATGTGTCGTCGTATTTTATTGTTTCCCGGATACGAGATACAGTATCGCAGAAGTCTGAAATACACGACTGCACAGACGCTCCATCCATTAGCCTTGACTGCAATGCGCCGTATAATACATCCACGTGATAGAATATTGTGGAGAAAAAAGCGAGAAAAAATGAAAACTCACCATCTTCTAGCAGACGCTTTAGACCTGCCGCCTCCCTCACAGAGCGTTCGTCCCAAACCGGAGAGCTCTGAATGCCATTGAAACACTCAATGAGCTCAGACCTAATTTCGGACACGCCCTGCACCACGCGTGATTGGAAGTTCTAACGTGTTGGTGCACAAGCTGGGAGACGGCGGCTACATATCTGGCGAAGAAGGTCAAAGCGCTTCGGCGACACGGAAAAAAAAACCGAAACATTTGCAAAAACCCCGAAACATTTGCAAAAAATATGCGGACGAGAGGGGTATCAAGACACATATTTTTAATAACGAGGTTAAATTGGTGTGCATAACAATGTAAAAAATGCGCATGAGGAAAATCTTCTTTTATATAAACTTGAACACCATGTTTCGACCCACTCATGACTGCCGCGCCGTCATAAGTTTGAGCTATCAATTTTGACTTCGCGTTGTAAGGCTGTAACACTTCTTTCAGTACAGCCGATATCCCGCAAGCCGTGCGATCAACGATTGGTACAAAGCTGTGAAATCTCTCGGTAGGTTTACCATCTTTCACAAACCGAAAAATCACAGCCAGTTGGGAAACGCACGTGATGTCAGTTGTCTCGTCAGACTGAATCGAAAGGAACTGGCAATTCTCAATTTCCAGAGCCAAATGTTGTAAATAAATTTTATACATTGAGTCGAGCAAATCATTTTGGATATCCTTAGATGTCCCTTTCGAAACAGTTGCGGCATCAAGATGATCTCTCAATACTGTATCTAGGGAAGCGGTGTATTCCACCATATCCTAAAATACCCCTCTATTAGAAGAGCCAGCCCGTTCATCGTGCCCACGGAGGGACAGCTCGTGACAACCAATGAACTTCAAAACATCTATCAATCGACCGAGAACATGGCGGTTTTTCTCGACGTTTTGGTTGTGCCGACGAATAGAAACCGCGCGTCCTTCATCCAACTGTGCTGCAATATTAACATTTCCGAATGTTCGGTATTTTACTGCATTGTCCAGATGCTCCATAGAAGATTGATGATCCCTGGCACGCTCGGAAAGATGTTTAAGATCTCTAAAACCAAATTTACACCAACGTGAGTCACGGGCGGTAGCAAAAAGTAGGCAATAAAAACAAAAAAATGCATTTTTGTCCTCGCTGTAACACAACCATTCGTGTTTTTTATACCAAGTTTCTGCGCAGAATGTACGCCGACGCTTTCCTTCGTCATGGGATTGTTCCAGTGAACAATTTTTTGGTTGATAAGGCCCAAGACGTTGTACCTCTAATTTTTGTTCCAGCGGCAGCTCCGAAAACGGAGTGCGAAGTAGTGCATCAACCTTATTCATTATGAGGTCTAAGGCTAAGAAATGCGAAGCCGGAAAGAAGTGAGGAGCTCAAAAGGAATGTGGAAAATCGAAAGCAAATGGACTAAAGGTCTCTAACTGATTCAAATAGCGAAACAAGCGACAAAAACGAAGGCGAGGAAACTATCAACTCTTCAAGCAACCAACGAACGAGAAGGAATGCGTGAATATGTCAACACGTTGTTGTAAGAAACGTCGGCATTGTGTCGTCATAATTTCGGGGCTAGCCCCGATCGGCCCCGATGATTTAGTAAAAGAAACAGAAAACAAACGCGGCGAGTGGAAGATAAAAGAGAGAATACGATATACAATGAGCAACCGGGGCAAAATCGCCGTCGCCCCGTCGACGTTCGGCGAAGGCTTTGCGAGCGAAAAATGAACCATGTCGGGAGAATATGGCTAGTGTAGACAGTCTGTGCAACCGATATTGAGGTATTTTTCGAATATTTTTTATTATACCGAAAAAACAACCGAGGCATTGCCCCGGTTGGCCCTATTGACGCTCGCCACTGCGATTTGGGATTTGTATAATTTCCTGGAGCATAAAAAATTAATAGAGAGATGGATGGTAGTGACCTCAATAATGAAGTTGAGAGTCGATCAAAAAAAATATTCCTCTCAAAGTGGAATTCACTCATAAACTCTCTTGAAGCCATTTAAAAACGTTTTCCTGTAATTTATATGCATGCGAGAGGGTGTTTTCGCACATAAATATCACGAAATCAAGAACCGGAAAACGCGTCAGTCCTGATATAGGCCTACGTGTTGTGAACATTGATTAAATATCTATGACACAGTCTTCTTTTCCATAATAAAAATAAAATTTTTGATCCATTCATTGAAAAAGGTTTGCTGTACCTGTTCTAGCGAGTTCGATGCTTGGACTTGACTGTTTCCAAATCCCAGATATACAAGCAGGGCTGCCCCTATTGTCTAGAAAATACATCTAGATATGAAGTCATTGAATTTGATGAAAAGTAACCACGAAAATATCGGTCGGAGACCGAAGACTTATCGATCGAAACTGCGGTTTCGATTCATGACTCTATAGTGACACCGCGTGTCCCATCACTAATTAATTAATAACTCGCTAATTAACAGACAAGTACCTATCAACATACTTACCGATCTAAAGATCGATAACTAATTTTACAGTAATATTAGATGTCGAAGAAGCTAACAATATATCCTAGAATTCAATTCCCACCTGCAGAACTTACAAAAGACCTTGTTCTTATCATCTGAAGGGGCAAACCATTAAGCCAATATTTTCTAAATTTTTGCTGGTAGTGTATACACTTTGGCATTTTGAAAGGTTGATGTTTAAAGAGAGACACATTCAATAGCACTTATAAACTTAAATAACCTAATAATTTTAAAACCCCTTGGCAACAATATCATCGGACCACATATCATCCTTTCTACTTAACGTTAATTAAAACGTCACATGTTTTAGACATGTTTAATTCGTTATTCAAATATTTTAAGTACATATGGCTGTATGGTACCGGTGGACGAATACAATATGAGTGAGTTTTATCGTAAATATATACTGTTTTATCAATCTTACATCAATACTTCTAAATAGTGAAATAATATTCATTCACCTATTACAGTATTACACACATCTCTTTATTTATTTCCCACTGGGTAATATTTAGAACCTTGAAATAAAAAATATAAAGATTTTATAGCTAACATCAAGATTTTATAACCAAACTTTACATCTAGATCTTCAAAAAAAACATCTAGATCTAGATATAAAACATCTAGAGTGGCAGCTCTGTATATAAGACGCAGCCAACATTTGATCGCAGTCGGGAGTGTAGGCTTCTAAAAGTTCGGGTCAAGAGTCCAAAAATTTACACTCAAACCAAAGAAATTTTGGAAAGTAGCAAAAAAGGCACGGTTTCGCCAATGTTTTTAAAGTCAAATATTGGCCTTTTTTGGGGTTAGGGAACCAGAATCAAACTTTTTTAAACAGCCGATATTATCTTTTAACACTTGAACGACTTGGAGCGTTTGGAACTTTTCTCCCACTTCGCAGCACGGGCGAGAAGTTCAGCAGTCCTCGCGAACCTAATTATCTTTTACGTGTATCGACAACAGAAGTAGTCTAGATTCTGAAGGCATGCCAAAAATCATATAGGCTATATATATATGCTATGAGCCAAAAATCATATAGGCTATATATATGTTATGAGTTGAATTACAATCTTGCCTTAAACGAGGCTGTATCGTCATAGTGGTCGGCAACCACCGGGCCGCGACCCATTGCCGGTCCGCGGAAAGAATACTACCGGTTCGCAGAAACGTGACACAAAAAGGACAATGTTCTAATACCATCTTTATAATCTAACAACCACAACCATACGACTAAAAAGTACAATGGATCTTACTTGCAATATAATTGTATGGCCGTAACCCGTAAGTGAGAGCATCAAAACTGTTCCGATTTGCGTCCTTTGTCATACTGAGCTTCCAACTGATGCCTTACAAACATCCTTGCACAATGGGATTATTTTATCAGCGACTAGATTGTCCTGTATAGAATAGTTGATTGAAATTTTAAACAATAATGAGCTGGAAAGAGTCTTTGCGATTTATAGGGTAGGCCTACTTTGGCAGTTTTTTGGTCAATAGGGAAAGGTGGGCCACGAAGGGACATGGGGCACAGTGAAAAATCGACTCTTACACTTATACTATATCCGGAATCACGTATGCCGTTCGATGTTTGAATTCGCCTATAGGCAGGGATTCCATACCGTCCTTATTTCTGAGATTTGTCCTTATTTTTGACTTATCGTATTTTTAGCTTGCGTCCTTATTTTTGGCTTGCGTGTCCTTATTTTGTCATATTTGGACTTCATAAAGGAAGCTTTGTATTGTTTGTTTTATCGCCAAAGCTTTATTGTGGCATCATAAAAACGACACAATCCTATTTGGAACACAAAGAAGCAAGGCACAGATAGGCATGAAGCATTGTTAGTGTGGCGATCCTGAGGTTTTGTCGTGGTGGTGGTTATTTTAGCCTAAATTGAAAAATGAGCAAATGTAAGAACGTTTTTTGTGATGAGTACGGGAAAGAATTCAAAGCTAAACGAAGCTTGAAGGATGGGTGCTTCGCATACTGCGACGGCTGTAATTTTGACATTAACCTGGAGGCCATAGAAAAGTCAGCTATTTCTGCTCACAATGCAGAAAATTTTCCAGTCGTCTATATTTTGGGTTCCAGATCGATGGAATCCATACCTATGGGTAGGGCTGGGTATTTTCGAATACCATGTGATTTCAGAATCTAATCGAATAATTTTTTTCGAATCGAATCTCGAATACTTGGAAATATATAATTGTAAGCGACTTTTTATAGTAATTGGTCTTCTTAACAAATGAATTACTGAAGAAATAGAATAAATCACTCAGATAGATCACTGAGCGTTCACACCTAATAACAAACACGTTTTATCAATAACTCACTACAGAAAATAGCCATATGTTAGAATCGCGTTGAAAATATATGGCTTAAAAAAAAAATATTTGAGAATTCACCTCGACCATTGGCGGAAAGAAAAAAAAAAGATGGCAGCGATTCAAAATGAAGCTCTGAACCTATTCGAATAATTCCCTATTCGATTCGAAATGCCCAGCCCTACCTATAGGTGAGTTACAATGCGTCCCGCAAACGGACAACGGCCGTGCAGAGCGACGCAAGCTATGAGGTGAAATCGATTTTTGGGGGGGGGGGGACTAAAATTTCACCATTCCAAGTTTTTTCTACTTCAGCCTTTCCAACATGACAAACCATCGTCTGATATTTTTCAGCTTCACTCTTCTGTAAAATATTCGTAACTTTGGCGAGTAGATGTGCCTTCCTAATTTTGCTGTGTGATTGTTCGAAAATATATGTTTCCTATGGGAAACAATGGACCGAGGTTCAGTGGGCCATGCCTTACTGAGCACAATTCGACAGTGTTTGATACAATAAGTGCTTAGGGGCCTAGAGATGCGTTATATTTTGTTTAATATTATGGTATTTTTCGACCCATGGCCCGATATGGAATATATTCGAGAATCAAAAATATTTCCAGATTTGAAATCAAAAAATAAGATGAAATAATTTGTTTGCGGAATTTTGTGTAAAAATATCTGAAATATTTTGGTTGAACATTGATTTTAAAAGTGCATACTTCATGCCCACTGTGCCCCAGGTTCTGTCCAAATGTGCCCCACGAGTGGGGTACAATGGGACACTTGAAAAACGTTTTTTAAAGCAATATCGTGGTGAGATGTGTGTCGTAAATGGATTTCTTAGTCGTTGAATACAAACTACATTTATCTTTCTGCATTATTCTCGCAAAGTGAAATGATTCTGCAAAATAAAAGGCTCAAAAGTTGTAAAATAAAAAGTGTTCCAACCTTTCTCACTTTCCCCTACTCCTCAATTAATACCCCCGGCATAGCAAAACAAAACTTTAGAGGCATTGTTACCTTTATGTGAGGTCGGGTTTTCAAAATTGACAACTACAAAATCATAGTAGGCCGAACGTAAGAAACATGTTACTTGAATAGCATCACTTTTATTTTTGAATTTAATATCAACCTATTTTTCCTAATACATATAATTTATTACATGAGCTTGGTAAGTCTATATAAGGTGGTCCGCCAAAATTTGGGTCAGGCTTTACTGGTCCGTCAGCGAAAAAAGGTTGCCGACCACTGGTTTAAGTAGCATGCTGGCAGGAATTCTGTGACAAATTGGCGACAGCAACTTATATTTCTATTGAAGAATCCAATTATGTGAATTGTAAATGAAACTTCGAATCGTATTTATAGACTTGCTTACGACGCTCTAGTTTTCATGTAAGGTAAAGAATCATCCCTGTAGATGCTGGGTTTTCAATATACACTCAGATTTCCTTTGCTTAAATAACATGTGGTGACTTAATAAAACATGTTCTTTTATTCAGACAAGAAAGCAAGCGGAAAGGTATTCTCATAAATTTGTCAGGGCCGCGTTGGACGTCTAACAGAAAGTAAATCTGGCGATGATTTCGCTCCGATCGGAAGTGGTCTGAAATAACTCGTCGGCGTATACTTGAAGTCCGTATTCACTATAAGAGAAAAAAGAATGATTATATTATTTGAAGTATGACGCGAATGTAAATAGCTCAAATTTTTGAACCAACGATTTATGGTATCTCTTTATATTTTGGATAACTACTGACACATGTTCCTAAAAAATAGCGCATACCTATGGATATTTCTATGTCGTAGGGCCTATCTGAAATATTTGTACTTGACCTCTGGTCACGGCTTTCTTTATTATCAAGTCCCTGCATCTGAAAGCAAATAACTGGCTGAATAATCTCATATAAGACACATATGTTACAATTTCCCTCTCCACAATGCGATTTATGTATATCTACGATTATATAACGTTTCGTGTGTAACAGCCGGCAAATCCAAAAAATCTGGAATTATTCACCATCAAGTCCATGCATCTGAAAACAAATACCTGACTGACTAATCCCATATAAAACACATATCTTACAATTTCTCTCACCAAAATGTGATTTATAGGTGCGATTATATAACGTTTCATGTGAAACGTGTGTAACAGTCGGCAAATCCAAAAAATCTGGAATCGTCTGATCAAAATGTAATTTGTAGGATCTGAAATTAAAAGTAGTCCGGAATAAATAAATCCGGAATCCAATGCTGTTACCCAATGAGCATATATATTCTCATTGTGTTACCCTATGAATGTAACAGACAAATTCACTTAATTCATCTATTCTTAATGTTCAGAGGAACTAAGTTTGTTGTAATATGCGTACAATACACACAGAGAGACCTTAAAATGAACATTTCCTATTTGTTTAAAAGTAAATATTACCTTCAGCACGGGAATCTTGTATTGAAGAAAAAACTAAGCACCCGCTTTTTTATTTTTGAAATTTGTGTAACAGTATGAAAAAGTGTACGCTTGCTCGCGGATGTAAAAGAAGTAGCCTGTATTCTAATCAACGAAATAGCAGTTACTCACATTTGATTAGGATCCGCTGGATGACGTCTGCCAACTTCTCCAACGTACAATCCGTGGAGGGTTTTACCAGTTATTGGAGTTCTGCAAAAATAACGAGGATTTTTCAGCATTGCCTGAAAGATTTTCCGTGTGTTGTTTATGATTATATGAGCGGAATTATAAATCCCTGACTAAAATAAATGTTAAAGCAAAATAGGGGCGCCACATCAAAAATAAATATCCTTATAATGATATATATCATTGTCTTACTTGCCAGGATGGACGTCTTCTATATTTATTTGCGGGTGTTTATTTGTGAACTCCCTCAATCGTATAGGTTCTGCCAGGCCGGCCATTTTTGAAGTATTTTGATTGTATACTTTGACTTAATCCGCTAAACACGATGTTAGTAATAAAATATATTTACTAGAACCTACACGCAGAAATACGACTTTTATAAATGTTTTCAGGATTAATACTTTAAGTTAATCAAATTCGCTCAACGTCAACAGTTGTTTTTTGTATACTATACCAAGTCACTTTATGATTCACCCTTGTGTACTTCTGAGTTCAAATCTCCACAAAATCTGAGCAGTTAACACGATTTTTGGGTCATCTCGTTCTATACTTATTGTAGCACTTACAAATTATCATTAACTTGTATCTAGGACTGGGCGAAACAAACATACGTTTTCTATACCTTACATACTGCGCTGGTTAATTCATATGCGATTATTGTAATGTTGCTGTATCATGAGCAAACATAACTATTCCAAAGGATCTGACTCCAGTCAGGCGAATGTTGTATTTGTGTCAGCGTACAGAAAGCCTCAGAAAATCACTTCAACAAAAATCACCCTATTACCTGACGGCACTAAAGCTTGATCCGCTAATATTATTCAAATTGCACGATAAACTGTTTTGCCGAGTTCTGTTTGAACAACTCAGCATATTATTAAGTATCTCAACACAATAGACATCTCATAAACGGAATCAAACAATATCAAACCTAAGCAAAAATCATTCAATTTCTAAACCGCTACTCGAAGCTCGGTTGAGGTTATGCACCGTAAGAAATACAAACGTTTTATACAGAGAATATTTTTCATACGTTAACATCTAACTTTGTTGAAATAATCCAATGTTAACCTTGGGATAAACTGTATTCTGTCCTAAAATTAATACAGAAATCACTATAAAAAGCAAAGATTTTGTTAACTTTTTAGCAGCGTCTCAAGAGCTCAAAGGAATGAATAAACGTCCTACATACAACCGGGGTAATATAATAAGGCTTCGATTCACAGCTGCTTTTGTTTCCAATAAGTACTAAAATTTGTTGTAATTTTTATATTTGTATCTATTCATTCGTTCTCCTCGAACACTGTGCGCCACGCCAGTCAGTTTCACAGTATGTCTGTCCAGGTCGAGTTTTAAGGATGGTCTACAAATAGAATTTTTTTTTAATCTAATTCCGGATGATTAATTTTAAACAGAACAGAACAACATATGTCAGTTATATAAGCAGATAATTTTAGTGTGCTGTGTTATTGCAACTTCACGAGGACACATTCGTCATTACTTTTTTTTCGTACAACTTAGAATATAAGCGTATCCAATTGTATCTTAGTCTGCTTAGAATTGATAAATCAAATGCAACCTATTGCCGAAAGCCCATTCACAACGCCCGAAAAAATAGAATGATATGCATGATTTTATAATGTTTGTTTTGAATCAGTATAAATAAACGATATGTAATCAATATAAATAAATAAGTATATATGCATATAATATATAGTGCAATGTAGCGTAGTTGATATAATGTAATATGCAGGCTTGTCCATGGGAAACGTCCCATGGGATGGGATGAGACAGCACACATTTGTTTTTCCCACGGGACACGAAAACTGTATGATTTTCAGGAAAATGATGCTAAAACATTTCGTTATGGACTCCGTGTCCATATATTTGAGCATAGTTCTCTTGTTAGATATAAAGAGCAAAATATATTCAGCCTTAACAATATACTTCGTGAAGGGGATGATGGACACATGTATAATAGTTATGAATATAAAGTTAACAAAGTTCGTAAATTTCGTTGTGTTGCATGTCTCTTCGTACATGTAGTCCTATTTAGTAGACGCTAAACCTAAATTTAATAATTTTATTCCAATGGGAATCCCATGGGATGGGATTGGACAGGCATAGTTGCTATGGGATGGGAATGGGACAGAAAAATAAGTCCCATGGACAAGTCTGGTAATATGTTAAAATAACATATGCATTAGTATCGAATTTAAAATAAAATTAGGATATTGAATGTATAGGATGCGAGCCAATCAGCGGGCGTCACGAGATTGTACTTAGGGGTCGCTGCAAATGCATAACACAGACAAGCAATCATAATTCACAGGGAAATCTACGCCTCATCTATTTGTACATTAACTATCGAAAGATTGTGTCGCAACTGCTTCGTATCATATATACATGTTGATTTTTTCAAATCAGAAACATAAAGTAACAAATATTCTCACATATCTTACATTTTACCGCCTACAGCATGATTTGTACACGTTGTATCAGTATTTTGTACGATTGGTTATATAAGCCGCCATCAAGCTTTACATATTTCGAATCAATCTAAATATTTTCTTACAACAACATTCAGACTAGTATCTGAATTGCGATCAGAACTCAGTGTTCTCCGTGGAAAACCACCGACTGACGAGTTATCCGATGTAGTAGATTCGATTTCGCGCCTAACGTCATTAGCATTGTAATTGTATTCTTGATTGTCTTCGATACGACCATTTGCACTTTTTTCCGACCTTAACTCCTTTTCGAGGGTAAAAGAATCATCGACTTCTACATCTATAGATAGTTTTGTAGACTTCCTATTCGATTTTTTATTAACTTTTGAATAAACTGGTTCTTCTGGATGCGTCACAACAGTTTCCTTCATTGCGTCATTGATTTCAACGACACCCATTCCGTCAATTTTTGCGTCAGATTCTTCTATGTTGTTGTCATCAAAATGAAGAGTTGAAAGCTGTATATCATTGATTTGTTTGAATCCCTTCAACCCCATTCTACCTCCAGTAAGAACATAATCTGTTTGCGCGACAGCGTCACTGGCTCTCCAACGCTTTACTCTTATTCCAGCTCCGCCGCTTGATGCGTCCTCTCGGAACCCAATTCTCGAAAAAGACGGTCTGGGATCATCAGCTGCTGGTGTGACTGTCATACCATAAGGTAAATGAACCGTATTCGCCAGTTGATCCGGTTCAGGTCCTGGCACATGTTCAAAGTTCGACTTTCCTTCGTGATCAAGATAATACAATCCGTGAGAACCACAACAACTTCGGATGGCTATTTTGCGTAATATTCCTCTAACATGTGTCGGTCGAAGCAAAAACAGAATTACTATACATGTCGTCTGCAAAAATATAAATAATAAAAGGTAGTATATTTGTAAAATAAACAAATTATCATATTATTTATATCCATTTTAACATTTTAAATTTCGTTCAGTTAATCTACAACGTGTGTTTTTTATTTATGCCTTTGTATATCCATGACTTTGACGTAAGTCCAATATATATATATCAAAGTTATGAGTCGTGAAAAGTCCTAGTTGGCTTGGGATTGATCGGTTGACCATTTTTACCTCATTACTTTGTACAACTAACAAGACACCAAAGTTAATAAAAAAATGAGCTGCTTAAACAGTGATAGTTTTATAAGTTATTTAAAATTTAACTATAATTCTGTTTTATAAAATAATGATTCTATACCATATATCAAAACCATACCATTTTGTATATCGACTAATGGTTGAGACAAAACTTACAAAAATTAGGCATAGAATTCCAAATGCAATATCCAAAATATAATACACAGATTCATCGAGATCATCGATGGATACACGGCAAAATTGTAAGGACCAGATTATGGTCATAACAACTGGAACGAAAAATGCCCTTTCTGCTAATTCACGAGCGATCTGATAATGTGTCTGATATCCATGAAACTTATTCTGAAATTAATCACAATCATTTAGTAAAAAGAACGTTTCAAATAATCAACAAAAGATTTCTAAATATATCACCTTTGTGCGATCATGATTGAAGTGCAATGCTTTTACAATGCGTACATCTACAATGATTGATAACAACAGGCAAATGCCGGCTGGTAGTGCTAATCCACAGAGCATAGCCCAATCCTTTACTGTACAAAAGTTCACTTCGGTGTATGCATCTGGATGAATAACCGCCACACCATTCACTAAAAGTTAGAAAAAAAAACTGTCGTTTTAATTAAGAAAATTCTTGTTCTTTCAAGCATGGAAATATTTTCAAGTAAAGTCCGTGTAAGAAAAAAGAATGCGAGGAAAGCTCATATGTAATGCAAGTTGAAATATTTGATCCACGTTGTTTATATGTTATTACCTGAAGATGTTTCACCTTCAAAAATTCCCATCGTTATGGCTGCCGTAAGAGAAAAGATGCATATTGATATAGCGTAAGTAACGATGCATAACCTGTAAATCAAGGTATGTTTAATTAATTAACACATGTTAAAAACGGGTTTCATTTAAACTGCGTTAAATTATTTAGATGTAATCTATAGAAGGCGTGAATAACGAGTAGATAACATCTTTAAAATGAGTTCATTTTGTTTACAATGTATGATGGAATGTTTTCTTTTTCAGTTACTTTTATAAGACTGCCACACCCGATTACGGCAATAAAGCTCTAGGCAGCTAATGAGTAAAGAGCTACTCATTTTTAACTATCGGTTTAGTATTTGTTGTTTAGCTATTGCTAGGGCAGGTGAATGGAGATTACAAATCCGTAACTAAGATTCCAACCGAGAACACAGAACAGAGCTAATTGAACCCAAATCTAATTTCTTACATTAGAAACTTCTGCGTTAATCTGAGTAAATGTTTTTCTAAAACGAGGGAAACTTTACCACCACTAGAAAAATAGATTAACAGAATTTTCTTGAATTCCCGAAAATCACTATTCCAGGAAATAAATTTACGTTTAAGGGGCCGGACATAGTTACCTGAAGAGTTATTTAAGCAGTGGAGGGAAAGTACTTAAGCTATAATTGAGCCTTGTTGATTCAAGTTTGATATGCGACTGTGTATAGAGATAGGATTAATATATTTTACTTCATAATCATTTTGTTAGTGAGAGTTTCATCCGCTAATGCAATCCGAAGTACCCATTTTTTAGGATTGAAGATACAACGATCAGCTACAAGTGACATGGTCATCATCCATATAAACGAGCTCAGTAAAAAGAAATGATGAAACGCGCTGAGCGCCAGGCAACTCGGGCGCTCTAAAGTACCCCACAGCACTCCAGAACAAAGATAAGTGAGAAATGCCAAGCTCAGCGTTAGTGACAAATTCAATGTTATTACATCGATTGGATCCTCCCTGAGTCGCCTGAAAAGTTGAGCAGATTCAAAAAAGATATTAATGCATGCAAATACTGGTATTCAGTATATTGGTATAACATAATCCTAATAAATCATATATTTAATACAAATAATATGATAATACCAAACATGAAATTCACCGGAATATATGCTTAGTTTTATACAGTTACGAAACATTTATACCTGTTATTTGGAAAATTTGAATAACATTCTTCATTCCATTATAAATCAGAATTCAAAAAAAGAATTACCTTATTTTAAAACTTCCTTATGCTCTCAACCACAAGCTAATCAAAATCGTCCTAAATATTTATAAGTTTACTCACCAGAAGAACAAGTATATGAAAACAACAACAAATAGTGCAATTGTCGTTATTCCACTCCCTACCATCAACATTAAATGTGGTTTGTAATCGATGAATTTAGGCTGAATATATTGAAATAAATTAATTTTTCACGTCCACACGACATTTCATAGTCTTTTCCAATATTAGATATATATCTAATTTCGATTCAACATTAAATGTGGTTTGTAATCGATGAAATATATTGAAATAAATTAGGACAAATTATTTTCAAGTCCACACGACATTTCTTAGTCTGTTCCAATATTAGATATATATCTAATTCTATCTCGAAGATAACTCATATGTTTTGTTGTTTGTTTTGACCAAAGTTAGTTGTTACCTTTACTTTTATTTAACACAGATAAAATTTTTTAGAAATCTTGATTTAGGTTAATGGATTCAGATATATATTTTTCAGATATATATTTTTGATAAAATAAGTGGATTCAACATTGTGAAAATTGATCAGTATTTACCCCCAATCAATTGGTTTCAAATTTGAGTTTGAAAAAAGGAAATCCTACTCAAATCGTAGTCTTCAAATCATTTTTATTAAAACGTTGAACAATTTCACACATTATAAATTTATTACTGTCTGCATTCATCGGTTAGTACTGAATGTGAGTTTTATTTGTATTGATTTACAAGGATTTTGCTATAATATGCACTAAATGTGGGAAAACAATAGAATAGGCATCTACCGGTTATGCTCATCTTTATTTCTGCTATGAAGAACAGGGTTGGGTGGACTAAAATTGTAACTACCTCCAAACAAGAACTGACTTACATCGAGCTGAACTCCGAAACTGGTTGCATGATTCCAGTTACATGTTACATCTGAATTGGCAGCAGAACTGGAGGTCCCTCCGTTGGATGACCAGTCGTTAACGGCATAGTCGTAGAACACACAGGAGGCGCGCAAATCCACTTTTCGATCAGCCTGGAAAAAATATCTCCTATCATATGATATTCCGGTGATTGATCTAATAACCTTTGTTTGGCCAATTTAAATATGTTTGGTTGAAGGATGGAGAATATGGCCATCACCCCTAACAAGTCTTTTCATCACAATATTTAAGTTCTTATTAAATTATATATTATATTAAATCACAATATTTAAGTTCTTATGAGTGGGGTTTTGTTTTGAGGGGCGATGAGGAGATAAAAGGATCAGCATTTAATTTATGGTAATATGAGGTAAAAATTTTCATTGTACTCAAATCATTCATGCAATCGATTTTTATTATTTCTAATTTATTTGCAATTACCTATTTTTCTATAAAAATCATCTATATATATATTCTAACCTTCAAAATGAAATATTTTAGCATCGGTAATATTAATTGCGCATAACTTCCCGGGGTCGAATATTCTCAATAATTGGTAAGAAACATTCAGGTAGTCCAACTTCCAATTTGTGATGTAATATGCTTTACGGACTTACCTGCCTGTATACATTTCGCAGTGAAGTAGTGTATCGAGCGTAGTTTAGCTCAATTTTTATAGGAGAATTTAAGTTCGTTATATTGACTTCTCCATCTGAATCACCAATCTCAATCGTGATTATGTGTCCAACTAGATCAGAACCACTGGCAGATGGGAAAAGGTTGCCGTCTTTAAAAACTATGACGGCTATTTTTGAATTCAAACCATTCCCCTGCGCATCAAGAGCTTGTTGGGGAATGTTTACAACAAGGCCGTAATATTCGTCTGATTTCACAGGTGTGTCATCTTGTCGAAAGGTAAACCCTGCTGTTGTGTTTTCGGGTATTTGCATAACATTCATATAAAAGTTAGATTTGTCGTTGATATATCCTTGAAAATAGAGGAAACGCACGATTGGAAGACATTCATCACTACTACTTCCGGTACCTACTCATATAATAATATGCTAGGTATTATGCTAAAAACCGAGTACGATTATTTCTAGAAATTTAGAGAACACAATAAAAATTTCGTGAAATTTCAGTTCAGTTGCCTAAAACACAACGAGGTAAAATCATTTATGACAGCTTTTTTGTTGTTTTTGCAACAATTCAGTAAGCTAATTATAAAAAATATCAATAATGTGTAAATTTCAATTATTAATTTGCAGTTCGTCGCACTTTTTGCCGTGATTGCCATCAGAAATATACACAGAAACTATTCTCATGAAACCCGAATTTCTTTTAGCTTTGTATAAATCAGATAACGAGTAATTCAAATTTTCAATGCTTTGCGTATACCATGCGCGGCTCATTTCCAAGATACACCAAAGTGACAAATTTAATTTACAAGAATGAATTATCATCAACAGAAACCTTTGTATATATACCTCCATTTGTAATATCTTGTTTCAGGGCATGTCTATTAATAATTTTTGCTAATGCCAACTTATTGTTTTTTCTGGTTTCACTCATTAAAATGCTACTTTGGTGGTTTATGGCCTTGTTTGCAGTATCTAGAAACAAATCTGCCGTCGAGGAAAAAACCTGAAAAACAGAAGCATATGAATTCATTACAATGTAGGCTAATATTGCTGGCTTGGTAATGCATGTTTCTAACACGAGCGCATAATTATCATATCTGTTGAAAAGTGCTACTAAGATAGCGTCACTTACACGTTTATACAATGATTTATTATAGCCGACTTCATTAATTTGGCATTTTATATCTAGTGTCTGCATTAGCAGTTCAATTTGAATAGCTTTCAAATAGCCCGATGAAAAAATAAATAGGTTGGTGGCTGTATCGTCAACCTTTGGGATCTGAAATAGAAATCCAGCGACACCTATAGCGCCAGCGAAGGTTTCTTACTTTATTTGGCAATGTGTTTCCAATTGTTTCCAACAATTTTGTCACCGTCTGTGCTTCGCTCCCAGTTAGCTTTGTATCGGAAGTGACGAAACTTAACACTACAAGAACACTATTTGCAGAGGATGATGTTACATTCTGATGCAGAAAATAGGATAGATTGGATGAGAATCAATTTAGAAAAAGTTAATATATAATTTTCAATTACTAACCAAAGATGAAAGGAGTTCGGTGTTGTTGTCGGTGCAGGACTGAAAATACAGTTGCCCCCAAGTGCTATTTCTTTGGCAATATCTCATCGCTTGTGGTCGATTTTCTGTTAAAAATCTTCATAATAATAAACATATATATACCAACTAATATAATTTTAAAAGTCGCTTTTATTGAAAAATTATGCTTTCAAGTTTAAATACGATAGTAAATTTTGTTCTTACTTTAGCAAACTTGTACTCACACTATGTAATCTAATACACTGCTACCCTGCGTAAATACAATGTAATTCTGATACGTAATGCACTTACTACCGTTTGAACACTTTTGAACGGATGATGCATATTCCGACGAAGAAGTGGTAGGGAACGTAATTGTGATTGTTTCATTATTTAAGAATCTGTTGACTGTTACTTCAAGACATCGATTGACAAATGAAGAGTCTGAAACATTGATAGAAAAATAAATTTGCTTTTCATCATTATATTTACCATTTGTTATACTCGTACTTGTTTGTATACTTATTTGTACATGGCACGAAAAACACACAGCATTATAAAAACATACTTTAATATATTTTTCAATTGATGTATTCTTTATTATCAACTTCAAAATTGAAAATGGTACTTGTGTTTGTAACAATTGATGTGGAAATTGGTATTTCTGTTTTTGTAATTGTGGTCGACTCTGTATTCTTTGCTATTGTCGCTAAATTTTCATTTGTTATAGATGCGGTCGTCTCAGCTGTGGCGGTTGATTCGGCTTTAGTACTTTTGCTATCTGGTTCTTCTGTTAGTTCGCTAGTTCTCACAATGAATGTAGTTTGCGGTGAAATATTTGTGCTCGGCCTTGTTGCTATGTCTGAATCTGTATTAGAACCTGTTTGATGTGTTTCTTTCGTAGACGTACCTGATGTAATTGAAACAGTCGCAGTCGAATTAGAGTCCGTATTAGTGGTGGCTGACACAAGCGGCTTAGTTGACTTGTCAATAAAATTTGATGTATGATTAATAATGATCCCCGATGTTCGATAAATAAAACCAACATCTGTCGACTTGTCTACTGCATTCGTAGTTGCTTTATCATCGGTTGCAATTGAAGTCACTGATGTGCTTGCTGTACTAAATGTTAATAGTTCAGATTTGCTTGTTACTGCCCCTGGTGTTTGTACGACTGTTATTTCTGTTGACGAGGCAGTCTTTTGCGGCTTTGAAGCGAACGTTGTTTCTTTTGTCACAGGTTGAGACGCATTAAAAAATTCAAGATAGGAAGTTCTGACTGAATTTAATTCTTCTTGAGGTTCTGAGACGTTTGTTATTTTAACATTTGATACGGTGTTTACTGCTGTTGGTTCTTCTGGCTTATGCTCTGTGTAGGCTGAGGTGTCAGCTATGGTTAAGTCATATTGGGTGCCAGTTGTAGTCGTATCTGCCACTGAATTGTCACGGTGCTGAATTGTTGAACGTATACTGGGCAGTACTGGACTCGATCTAATCAAATCAGATGTTTGGTTGATTATAATACTTGAAGATGTTGTTTCTATGTTTGATGTCAACTTTTTCCTTCTGTTTGTGGTGTTGTTGTCAATGATAAACTTGTCGCCGTTTGTTCGTACTCCTCATTTTTAAAGGTGGTTTCAGTTTTTAAAGCATTTGTTGTCTCTGTATGACTGATTTTAAGCTTTGTTACAAAACCGGGGGTTGTTTCAGTTGGTCTAAACGTAGGAGTTGTTGTTTTAATTATTGAAGATGCTTCCTGAATGATCGTTGTCTCTGGTTCAGTAGCTGATGTTATTTTCAATGAGGCTCTTTCCGATTGACTTGTTGTTGGATAATTTGCCGTTGAGTATGTGCTCATTCCTGCGTATTTTTATGATTAGAAATATTATAATAGGTTTGCACTCATGCTGTCACAAAGGAGGAATCTAGTAAAGCATCTAATTCTGTGCCCTTATGAAATGTTTTTAAAACTAATGGTTATTTTGTATATATCGATTTTAAAATCATTCAAGCATTTTGAATAAATATAAATATAATCCAATATCAATCATTCTAATGTATTAAATATGATAGCTTGTAAAATTACAGTTGTCTAATTGCAGATTTTTCAATTTACCAGTCGTTACTTTAGCGTCGATTGCAATTGAAATATCTGATGTGCTTGATGTACTGAATGTTGAATGTTCAGATTTGCTTGTTACTGCCCCTGGTGTTTGTACGACTGTTATCTCCGTTGACGAGGCAGTCTTTTGCGGTTGTGGAGCGAACGTTGTTTCTTTTGTCACAGGTTGGGACGCATTGGAAAATTCAAGATAGGGAGTTCTGACTGAAGTAAATTCTCTCGGAGGTTCTGGGACGTTTGTTATTTTAACATTTGGTGCGGTGTTCACTGCTGTTGATTTTTCTGGCTTATGCTCTGTGAATGCAGAGGTGTCAGCTATGGTTAAATCATATTGGGTTCCTGCAGCTATTTTTTTGTAAATGTTTCGGACATTTCGGGGACCGATGCCGAATCAACTTGAATCGTTGCCATTGTTGTCTTATCTGTTGCACCAGTTGTAGTCGTTTCTGCAACTGAATTGTCACGTTGCTGAATTGTTGAAAGCATACTGGACAGGACTGGTCCCGATCTAATCAAATCAGATGTTTGGTTGGTTATAATACCTGAAGATGTTGTTTCTATATTTGAATTCAACTTCTTTCCTTCTGTTTGTGGTGTTGTTTTCAATGATAAACTTGTCACCGTTTGTTCGTACTCCTCTTTTTTTAAGGTGGTGTCAGTTTTTAAAGCATTTGTTGTCTGTGTATGATTGATCTTGAGCTTTGTTACAAAACCGGGAGTTGTTTCAGTTGGTCTAAACGTAGGAGCTGTTGTTTTAATTATTGAAGATGCTTCCTGAATAATCGCTGTCTCTGGTTCGGTAGCTGATGTTATTTTCAATGAGGCTCTTTCCGGTTGACTTGTTTTTGGAAAATTCGCCGTTGAGTATGTGCTAGTTCCTGCATATTTATAAAAAATAGTAATATTATTATAATAGATTTGCACTCATGTTGCCACAAAGGAAGAATCTAGTAAGACATCTAATTTTGTGCCCTTGTGGAATGTTTGTAAAACTAATGCTTATTTTATATACATCGATTTTAAAATCATTTAAGCATTTGAATCAAATATAAATATCATCCAATATCAATTCAATGTATTAAATATGATAGCTTGCGAAATAACAGTTGTCTAATTGCAGATTTTCCAATTTACCAGTCGTTGATTTAGCATCGATTGCAATTGAAGTCTCTGATGTGCTTGCTGTACTAAAGGTTGAATGTTCAGATTTGCTTGTTCCTGCCCCTGGTGTTTGTACGACTGTTATTTCCGTTGACGAGACAGTCTTTTGCGGTTGTGAAGCAAACGTTGTTTCTTTTGTCACGGGTTGAGACGCATTGGAAAATTCAAGATAGGAAGTTCTGACTGAAGTTAATTCTTCTCGAAGTTCTGGGACGTTTGTTATTATCACATTTGTTACGGTGTGTACTGCTGTTGGATCTTCTGGCTTATGCTCTGTGAAGGCAGAAGTGTCAGCTATGGTTAAATCATATTGGGTGCCTGCAGCTATTTTTTCTGTAAATGTTTCAGTAGTTTCGGCCTTTTGCATGACCGATGCCAAATCAACTTGAGTCGTTGTCATTGTTGTCTTATCTGTTGCAACAGTTGTAGTCGTATCTGCCATTGAATTTTCACGTTGCTGAATTGTCGAACTTGTACTGGACAGAACAGGACCCGATCTAATCAAACCGGATGTTTGGTTGAATATAATACTGGAAGACGATGTTTCTATATTTGATGTCAACTTCTTTCCTTCTATTTGTGGTGTTGTTATCAATAATAATTTGTCGCCGTTTGTTGATACTCCTCATTTTTTAAGGTGGTTTCAGTTTTTAGAGTATTTGCTGTCTCGGTATGACTGATTTTAAGATTTGTTACAAAACCGGGGGTTGTTTCAGTTGGTCTAAACGTAGTCTCTGGTCTGGTAGGGGATGTTTTTTTCAATGAGGCTCTTTCCGGTTGACTTGTTGTTGGAGAATTCGCCGTTGAGTATGTGCTAGTTCCTGCATATTTATAAAATCAGTAATATTATTATAATAGATTCGCACTCATGTTGTCACAAAGGAAGAGTCTATTGAAGCATCTAATTTTGTGCATTCATGGAATGTTTTTAAAACAAATGCCTATTTTATATACATCGATTCAAAATCATTTCAATCAAATATAAATATTATCCAATATCAATCTAATATATTTATGATAGATTGCAAAATTACAGTTGTCGAATTGCAGATTCTCAATTTACAAGTCTGGTTAAATTTGGTTTCCGCTGGTTTGCAGCGCATTGCAATGTCTTTGATTACGTTGTGAATTGACCACTATTATAACGTAATTATTTAAAAATTTATGAAAATTTGTAACGTGGCTCAAGTGTATGAAGTTAGGTTGTAGGATAAGCTATTCAAAATGCTCAGACGAGACCAGAAATGTATTTACGAAGCAGTCACCTAAAATCGGATTATTAAAAATGTCTAAGAGAATATATAATTGAGAGCCGACAGTATCCGAATTCTCAAGGTTTGTATTGAAGGTTTGATTTGCCAACGTTATTTCAAACTTGAGCATTTTTCCTGTAAATATTGAATGGAAGCAATCTTTTATACTGGGTGTTTGTATAATTCTAAATGTTGTTGCACCAGAATACTGATTTAAAACATTATTAGTAAATACCGAATAAAAAAGAGAATGTGTCAAACATCTCATGGAAGACCATGTTTTGAATATGCTTATTGACTGACAACCACAATTGTCAGTTTTTTCGACTTTCTTAAAACAAGACATACCTAATGTGACGAAGCCAGGTGTCATAAAATATGCCTTCTCGGGGTTGGTCGAATTCTTGTATCCTTCTAATACACTTTCTTCGGTGACATATGATTCTACGTTCATATTGATCCTAGGAAATATTCGAAAAAATATCTTAATGTGCAAAATTGAACGTTCCTTTTTAATTCAAATCAGTGAATGTTAAACGTTTTCTTTCCACTTTACCTTACAATAACGCTTCCGTTTCTGAAACCAGAAACCGATATATTTCGTATCCCAGGTAACTTTAAGAGAATTTTTTCCAACTTCGTTTCGACGTGAAGTTTGAGGCTTTTGTATTCGGTAGAATTTGAATTGTCAAGGTTGGTATTGTATGACTCGTTGACCAAAGTGATTTCAAATAAAAACATTTTTTCCGCAACTATCAAGCAAAATGAACGTTAGTATCATAATATTTTTGCGATAAACATGGAAAAGTGATATTTCAAATATTGTGGTTATTTAAGACCGAAGAATTATATTTTAATATAGTTGAAATCGGAATATTGCATTCAATTTAGTAATACCAAAAAAGCTTCTGCACCTTCAATCGCATTCGTTGTTTCATCCACGGTACTGGAGCTGATTTTCAAATTGGAAGATGTGGTAGTGCTTAAAGATGATACTGGAGTCTGCTGAGAAGTTTCTTCATACTGGACATTTGACTCGTTCGATTCTAATGTTGTAATTGTGTCAGTAGTCTGTTCATTTGAAATGATTACTCTAGCCATTGATGATTCGGAAAACGATTGTTTAGTTTGGATTGCCCGTGTATTTTCTTCAGATTGAGAGGCCGGCATATATTCACCCTTCGAAGTTGCAGTGGCGGAAGTTTTTTCTCTGCTTCCAGCACTCGTAGTTTTATTTACAGTTTCCTTCATAATGATTTTTGTACTTGTTGATATGCTGTCCTCTTTTGTTGTATTTGTTGCTGTCGTAGATTGGGTAAATGTGCTTCCGTCTACTCGATATTGTGACATTGTCGCTTCAATTGTTGTTAAATCTTCAATTATCGTTTCTGGGAAAGATTTGTAGGTCAGATCTGTTTTACTTGTTTCTTTTTCTGCAGTTGATAAGTTGCTTGCGGTAAACAACGCTTCCGCTGATGTGGGCGTATGTGTTTGTTTTATTGAAGAACTTTCCACATCGTTCGACTTCATTTTATTTGTTACTTCTGTAGTCACTTCCTGGTACATCGTGGTGATATCAGTGGGCCTTTTTTGCATAGAATTCGTCCGCGTATTTTCTGGTCGCACAGTCGGAGTTATATTTGTTGTACTATATTCATTATTTACTGTAAATGTTCAATAAAAAATGGCATTCAGTGGGTATTCTTATCAATATATTGAGAGGTTAATACTTTTATTCTTTTGGAAGAATTCTGCCTTGCAAATTAAACTCGGTATAAAATTAATTAAATATTAGCGATTACACGAATTAGTTGTTATTTCTCATTCATATACCGCTTATGTGAAAAAACTTCTTCGAGAATTGTATACGAACAAATATTCGAATTTAAATAATATACTATACGAATTAATCGTCGATTGTTCAACTGCAAACTATGTTTATACAAGTTTAACTGAACTAGATAGGTAACATATAAACAATGGTCATACCCGGGTACATGCGAGTTGTTTCACTCACAGCATTGAAAGTAGTTTGTAATTGAGAAGCTGTAGAAAGTGTTGTAGGAATTGGCTGTGTCATCAACTCAGAAGATGTTATTGGATATAAAGAAGTATCAGCCATTGTTGATTTGTCACTGGCATGAACTGTTTCGACTTTTTGACTGGATGTTTCAACCAGCAGCGTTGTTTTATCTGTCGGAGAACGTGTTGTTAACATTGCTGAATTATATGATCCGCGCGGATACGACGCTGATGTAATACCTAATGGAGTGGAATCAAATAATGATATTTGTTTGTTCTGGGTAAATGTTTTTGTCTTATCTTGATCTGTTTTAACCGACGTCGTTTGCAATCCCGTAGTTGTTGCTGTCGCCTGTTTTGCTGTCGTGGAAGGTTGTACAGTCATTGGTGATGTTGTTCGTTTCCGTGTATTTGTTTTTGTTCCTTCCGTTACAACTGTACTGCTTTTTGTAGGAATTTCATCCGTTATACTCGTGGCAATATTGTATATATTCGCTGTATATACAACTGTTGAACCTGTCTCAACCTTTGCCAATTTTGAGGTTTCGATATCAGCGTAAATTCCCACTGTAGTTTCTTCAGCGGGAATTAAGCTCGAGGAAGATCCTCCTTGCCCACTAGTCTGGTCGCCCACTAGTCGTGCAATGGTTACAGGTTCAGATTCGGAGTGGAATATATATGTTGTTGAACTATGAATCTCCGTATCCGTTGCTTGATTACCTGTGCTCCCTATTTCGCTGTGTTTATTCGTTGTTACTAACGTATTTCCTGTAGTCATTTTATGGTCTGTGTACTGCCCAGCTGATACCCCTGGTGTAGTGCGCAAAATTTGAGTAGATTCTGATCCAGAATTCATAAATATAGTCCGTGTATGTATGGGTGGAGATGTTGACCCGTTTGCTAACTTTTCAGTCATGTTCGGTATTGCTGTGGTTTGTTCATTGTGCAGCGTTGATTTATCTTCTTGGGTCAATGGCAAATTTGTCGTATCCGGGATATCATCGCCTGTTTATTAAAAATTTCAATAATATATGCATCATTTTAGGTGTTCATAAGTGTAATTGGTTGAGATACCATTAAAAATTTGAAATTGAGATAAGTGAAAAGAATGCATGCGATTTTGAAGACGAAGTGATTAATGCTGTGACCTAACTACCAGTTAAACTAAAGGTAATAGTATATAGTTTTTTGCCCTATTCTAGAAGTTACTTTCAGGTTAGGCGACGTCCTACTAAAATAAAATTGGGCAGTGGCGCAAGCAGCATGATATACTTGTCTTAGTCATCACAATCTTCAGTAGTTTATTACCTTTGAGTGACTTTTTTGGAGCTTGGACCGTGGTTATGTTAACATCATCTGATTCTGTAACATATAACTGGTAATTTACCTGACATTGTGGTGAACAGTGTTATCGTCGAAAGCCTTGACTCATCTGGCAATAGGGAATTCATTTTAGTTTGGAAACTTGAACCAGTAATCAATGTTGTTGAAATCTTCTCGGCATATGAGGAAGTTGGCATTTCTATCATTGACAGTGATTTTGTTTCGGTTTTCCATTTCGGTGTATTTGATGTTGATAGTGCTCTCTGCCCGTCTGCTGTACTTAATTTGCTAACAGTCTCGTCGGTTGTAGACCTTTCCAGTAATAATAGTGTAGTATCTGTTTCTACTATAGTTGGTTTAGTCGTTTTCACATCAGAGTCTGGAGTCATAGTGTAGTCGATTGGGATGCTTGAGGGTATAAAATGTGAGTTAGTCGTAGGTCCAGATCGCACGTAATTTGAGCGCATGGAAAGATTTTCAGTCCCAGTTATGTTTCTTGCTATTTTAGGTTGAGTATGTGAGATCGTTCCTGTAGTATCCTCAGCTACGACACTTTCTGACGACAATTCATGTTTAATAGTCGTAACCATCATTTGTGAATCAGTCGTTTCTTTGGGAATTGTTGCACGAATAGACGATTTCATTTCGGTGATTATTGTTGTAGATTCTTTTTGAGGTGTTGAGATAATTCGTGTTGACGACTGCGGGGCTGGAACTGATTGTGTTGCCCCCATATTCGATGTCACTGCGTAACAAATAATATAACTCAGGTTACACGTAATTCTCTACAGTATCACTTTGAAGTCCATCAACAATATATTACTTTAACGTATATGTAATATATAACTGTAATAAACATTTTAAAACAACAGCGTATACAAGAGTTGGACAATTGCTCCTATTCTGGATAACGAACTCAACTCAATCCTGAAAATACAGGGCTAATATATACAGGGGTATTTTTGATGTATTTAGTTGGCGTCCTAGCGGTAATATACCGTATTCCTTCGTGTATGATACGCGCCCGTAGATAACACGCACCTAGGTTTTAGTACATTTTCAACCAGAATTTTCCAAACTCCATGCATATTAAACATATCAAAATTCCGTCCTCTCTTGCCTTGTAGGTGTTTTTTCTGGGCGTTTTAGACATTCTGTCTGCTTCCGCTCTGTTAACTATATATATCTGGTAATATGTTTTATGTATTTGCCTGTGAAACACCTGCCAATCGTGATGTGATATTATTTAACATTAAAGTTTCTTGTAAAGTTATTTGTTCCTCCCCTTTTAAATGCTGACACAGCTCGATATCAGAACGTGTTTTCAGACGCCGCTCTAAGCCGTAGGTCACTCATATGGTGATTTATTACGTGAAGTTTTGCCGATTCGGCGAAACGGGAGAAACAGACAAGACAATGACAGCAGTTAACGAATGTACAGCGTGTTTTTATCACTTTATTTCACCACTTTTTCTGGGCCGTCATCAACACTAAATTGTTGTTGAACTGGGTATGCTTCTACCGAATCAAGCATGATCTGATTCTAGACTTTGCCACATAAAATTGAGAACTTAAATTAATAAATGTGACAATTATTAGCGAGTTGAAGCATAAAATGAGAACTGATATTTTTTGATATTTGTAAACCAATGTACAATACGCACCCCCATATTTGTGAGACTAAACTTGAGCGGTGGCCGTACATTTGAACCCATGTGTATCTCCGCGGGTTCAATCTATATGCGGGTGCTAACCCATAGGTTAGGGTTAGTATGGGTTCAAATATCCGTAAAACAAGAAAAATTCCATAGGTGCAATAGCATGCAGGTGCAATTGTCGTGGGTTCAAATGTACATGGGTTCAAATGTAATGGAATCAATTTGACCACGAAAGTGCGTATTATACGCCGGGAAATACGGTATTTATGTATTTGAATTTTGGTATACCTCGCGTGAAACCAGACTTCTTGAAAAGTGATTTCCTTGTTGCGTTTGAATTATCATATGCTCGAATAATATCTTCTTGTGTAGCGTTACTAGAAACTTCTACTTGAAATCTGAAAATATAGTTACATTACTGAGACTATTACCATGTATAAAATAAATGTATAAAGTACACTTTTGTTATCTATTTCAATTTAATTCAATTACATTATTGCGTTATTCGATCCATCGAATGGTCACCAGCAGGCAAAATCGTTAAGTGATCAAAGTAATATGTCATACGCACAAAATGTATTATTACTTTATGTAGTTTACCTGACTATAACACTGCCATTTGAAAACCCCGTGACGGTTACTTCCAAAAATCCAGTCATGTTTTTTAATATTTGAGTCAATACATATTCAGTCCTATTTTTCAGGATTCGATATTCTTCAGAGCTCGGGTTGTCAAGATGTGTGTTGTAAGTTTCGTTCGCGAGCGTAATATCAAAGAGATAAGTCTTTCCTTTAAAAAATGTTTGAAATGATACAAACTTCGGTATTTCAGTTTGTCAACGGATTAATTTGCTAGTGTTACGTTATACAGAATTAACCTGTGACAATGTTTTTGTTTTCGAGAAGAAACAGATCTACATATTGTGTGCCGTACCTGTAAAAATTGAATTTCTATCAGCATTAGTTGATGAATCCAACAGAGTAGTAGTAGTTCCGGCTTGATTAGGTGATGTTGATAACCATTGAAGAATAACGTTTGGCGATGTTTGTTCATAAAAAGTGGTTCCTGTTGTCACTTTATCTGGAGTGTGGGCTATGGATTTAAATACAGACCCTGCATCGGAAATTTCAGTTGGCTCAAATCTCACTATGGTTGAATTAATTTTGTCTACCTCATCATAAATTGTGTTAGTCATTTCTTCCGTTTGGGCAAGTGTAGATGCAGTTTTTTCTTCCTCACTCGTGACTGCTGGAGCGAAATAACACTTTTAATAGCTTAATATTTATTTTATTTGCTTTTCTACTCGTAGTATGTTACAAACTGGTAAATGTTTGTATCTATCTGCAATCTGCAGTTTTTTTTTTATCTTACAACAAAATTAGGTCAAAACCGTTAACTGCTGTTAACTCCCAGTAAAAAGCGCTCAATTTTGTTGAAATATGAAACAGTTGGAGTGTCGTATGCCTGGATGACAACTTCTTCCGTGACATTATATAAAACTTCAGTTTAATGCTGGCTAATTATCATGTATAAGATAGAATAAAGTAGACAGTGAAATTTCCTTACTTGTCGATACTGTGGTCGAGACATCTTGTCCATTGAATAAGATAGTTGTGATCATCGAATCATGACTGGAATTAGCTATGCTTTGCGGATCAGCAACTGCAACCGTTTTTGCTATATCCAATAAAGTGGTCTTAGTTGATGTCTCGGCAGTTTCTTCTTGATTTGTGTTAGTGGGTATATTCTCCGTCGTATATTCTCCCAGAACTGAAACGATGTCAACATGAAAAAGTTTCAATACTGAGTGTAAGAAATGTTTGCATGCATTTTATGGAACCTTGAGTCGTTCACTATAAGCACTTTAAGTTAGTCACGCTTTATGAGTTTACATTGCCCATTTTACTGTGACGTAATAGTCACTTATTCCCCCGCGCTTTACGGCCTTCTAGAACTTTCCTTGCCACGAGGTAGACGCTTCTTGCGCTTTGCTTATTAGGGAGGATTCTGCGCGACTGCAGAAATTATAGCTTATAGGTTTTACTATTTTCTGGTTATATTACTAAATGATTATCAGGTAGGAATTCTAGAATTGAAATATTATGTTTATCCATATATTGTCCGATAGGTTGTGAGGATTGCTGTATTTTTGTTGTATCGAATACGTCTGTCACTTATTGTTTTTATTTGTATTATAGCATACTTATGGCTGTTCTTTGAGTCCTTGTCAAAAACAGTCAATTTATCACTAACACTAACGCCGACACTAACCCTAACACTGTTATCACTGACGTCAACATTAGATGTGTTTAAACAAGATAATAAAGTTTCTTTCAACACAAGTCTACGGAATTGTTGGTGTACAGGTTGCAGTGTGTGTTGGTCAGTTGGTGCATAGATTGAAGACATTATTTGGGGACCCAAGGGACAGGACGCGTCTCCAGTTACCCTGTATCTTTGAGTCGCAGTGGGACACATTAGGTACCGTACCCTACGCGTACTTATCCCACATCGAAATAAATTGACTAATGGCTTTAAATGATGAAATTCTTCAATCTGCTGTGTCTCACACCAGCACAGCATTGGAAATCCAGACACTGGAAACAATTCGACTCTTTCATGATCGAAACATCACTACATTACTTACCAGTCTTGATAGACTGATGAATATTCCAAATAATCGAAAAAATGTAGTTGCTGCAAAAGATAGACTGGATAATGCAGTGGCGACTTGGGAGGAATATTTGAACAATTACATTACTTCGCATTCAGCAACAACAGAATCTGATGCCATGAATATTCAAAACGCTTCACAGTATTTAACTCAGCTAAATGATATGAAAAATTCATGTAATATGAAATATCAACATTATCAACAAGAATGCCTTGCTAGTGATCAATCCCAAGCAAGTTCCAGAAAATCAAAACGTTCACATTCAAAGACCGGTAGCACAACTTCTTCCACAAAAGCGAAGTTGCTGGAGCTGGAGGCAGCTGAAGAATTAGAAGAGGCACAAATTGCTAAACTTGAAGCAGAAGAAGGGAGAGAAAAGCACTTTATAAACAACAAAGAGCGAAGATCATAGCAGCCAGTAGCACAAAATCCTCAAGAAGTTCATTGATCGAAGTACAAGCTCTTGATGAAACACTGTTTGAACCACCCCCAGCGTTGAATTTGCGAAATTATGTTCCCGAATATCCCTGTAACGTCATGCAACCTTCTGTTCAAGTTTCAACAGGAGGTGGAATAACTGGAATTCTCAGCTCAGCAATTGACACTTCTACAGGTATGGCCATTACAATGCCTTCTGCTAGTATAACTGAGCTTACATTGTGTAATTCGACTCCTGTTATCAGTAGGAGCCAACAGCTGCATAGAATTATAAATACCACTGGCACCTTACCAGTTGTACCTTCAGCTATACATGATAATATTGCACCATTACAAAATTTGCCTGTTGTGACGACCCCAGGTATCTCTATGGGGCCGGCGTTATCTCACCAAACTGCAAGAAGGAATTTGTCATATCCCACCGTCTCATCAAGTTACCATGATAATACGTTACCTGCATATCCCCCAATGGGGACGGCATCTACAGGCACATCATTTTCGTATCCTGCTATTTGTGAACCAACTTTTACCTACCCACAAATTTTTTGCCCTGTGACTTATCCTGAGCCCCTTCCTACCTTGCCTACCCGACCCATTATGTCATCAATGGCCAGAGATGACTGTTGGATGCCACCGCCTTTAAGGTCCTATCTTCCTCCTAGTCCTGTACTACCACCAGTAATTTTAAGACCTGATCCTCACACTTCAGTACTCCCGGAATATCCATCTCAACAATTGGATCATAATTATCCCAGCAGAGATGATTTGTATGTTTTGGCAAACACCATGAAACAAGGCTTCACACTGCCTAAACTTGACCCCATAACTTTGATGGTGACCCAAAAGCTATCATGCATTCATGCGTGGATTTGACAACATCATTGGTCATCACGCCTATGAACCTGCGGTGAAATTAGCTCAACTTATACAGATGTGCACTGGTGAGGCCAAGGATGCTATTAAGCATCTTGTAATTGTTGATTCTCCAAGCGAAGGATATCAAGCAGCACGAGACACCTTACTGTATCGATTTGGAAATCGTACACTAGTCATTGACGCTCACATCCGCCAACTGACAGAAGGACCTAGAATAAGAGCCAATGATACTAAAGCACTGTGTCGACTTGCGTCACAGATGAGAAACTGTTTTATTATTCTGACACAGTGGAAAGCTGAACAAATGCTGGATGCACAAGCTTATCTCAAGGATATATTTCGTCGTCTGCCACCAACATTACAAGCAGATTATGTACATGACACTTCTTGGAAGAATCATCCGATTCCTTCATTCACTCATTTATTGGAATTTGTTGAACTGAGAGCCCATCTCAGTAATAATTTTTATGGACGTTTAATGGCAGAAAATGACAACAAGCCCAGGGCAGTACAAAATTTTAAACCTCGCTTTGGGAAAATGTCTGCCTATTCTACAATCAGTTCTTCAACATCACAGAAGAGGAATTCATCACCTGCTTACAGACCAACACATCACAATGGAAGACAACAAGCTCATGGTGCTAGCCAAAAGCACCCACAAACTTTATGTTTATGTTGCAAGAACGATCACCCTTTATATCGTTGCGCAACATTCAAACAATATGACCTGCAACATCGTCGTGATTTCATTCGAGAGAACAATTTATGCTTCAACTGCATGAGATCCGGACACATCGTCAAGGAATGTCCGTCTCAGAAACGTTGCCAAGCTGATGGGTGTACACGGAAGCACCACACACTACTTCATCAGAATGAAATGCCAACCAGGCCACGATCACCTGTGACCGGAAATATACCCACGGACACTAATAGTAAGGTCAATTCAACAAATGTAAGTTCTTATTTTGCCAATGTTGTCAACTTTTGTGATACTGATTGTTTTGTAAGGCTCATGGTTGTCCCTGTTGAGGTAGAAGTTTGTGATTCGAACCATAAGTCATTGACATATGCCTTCCTAGATTATGGGGCAACTAGATCCTTGTGTTCCACTAAATTAGCTAGGGATTTGGCTCTCAATGGTGAGCCAGAGAGATGTACAATACGGACTGCCACTGGTCCAAAACTTCATGATGGCATGAAAGTTTCATTTACTATTAGGGGTGTCCTTGAACCACAGACCGTTGATGTTCACCATGCCCTGACCTTTGACTCGATACCCGATGTACGAGATTCAATACCAAACACTGAGGCCACACAGCGTTATCCTCACCTACGGGACCTAGAATTTCCCCTATTGAATAAACCAATTGATTTGCTTATTGGGGCTGATGTCCTGGGTCGTTACCCAATTACTGAAACCCGGGTGGGTGCAGCTGGATCCCCCACTGCATTACACACCATCCTAGGTTGGGCCCTTACTGGCCCAGATGTAAGCATTGCAGAGACCAATGCAGAGGTCAATTATTTGAATACTATACACCCAATTGATTGTAATTTTACTGATTTTTCTAGTTTTAATGAACCTATTTGTCATATGTGTGCTCATGATTTTGCTGATGTCAATGCTAACCCATGTATTACTCAGCCATCCCAAGATGATAGAAGGGCACTTGATTTTATGAACCAAACTGTGACCAAGTTTGATGGTCGGTTTCAAATTGGACTTCCATGGAAGTCAGACACTGTTAGCCTTCCCTATAACCGTAATATCGCTGAGAAGCGACTAGTGTATTTGAAACGTAAATTTATGGGGGACCCTGAATTATTTCAGAAATATAGAGATAAAATTGAGGGTTATATTCAGAATGGTTACGCCGAAGTAATCCCATCACATGCACTCACACCCACAAATAAAACATGGTACATTCCACATCATGCCACACACCAATCTAAATTTAGAGTTGTTTTTGACAGTTCTGCTGAGTGTAAAGGAACTTCATTGAATAAAAATTTGCTTTCTGGTCCTGACAACAACAACATGCTAACAGGAGTGCTCATTCGATTCAGGCAAGAATTGACTGCATTTGTTTGTGACATAAAAGAAATGTTCCACAGGATTAAAGTCTCACCCAACGACACAGATGCTCAGCGGTTCCTATGGTGGAAAGACCATAATTTGGATAGTGTTCCCATTGACTTTAAAATGTTGTCCCACAACTTTGGGAACACTTCATCACCTTCTGTTGCCACATTTGCGCTACACAAAGTAGCCACAGACAATCTGTCGAATGCAGATGAGATGACAGTACGCGCAGTTATGCGTAATTTTTATGTCGATGATGGACTGAAATCTGTCGATGATCCATCAGATGCTGTAAGACTAATCAAACAGCTCACTGAATTATTGGCAACTGGAGGATTTCACCTCACCAAATTCATGAGCAATGATATCAATGTTCTGCAATCAGTTCCAGAAAGTGACCGTGCTCCTGCAATTAAAGACCTCAATCTTGAACGTAATTCACTCAGTCGAACCCTAGGTGTTCAGTGGAACATGCACACTGATGAATTTGTAGTATATGTCAACATTGAACCAAAGGCGCTCACTCGAAGAGGCATTCTTTCAATGGTGAGTCAAATCTTCGATCCTTTGGGTTTCGTTCAACCATTTATCTTACCTGCCAAGCGAATTCTACAGGATCTTTGTATCGAAGGATACTCATGGGATGACCCCATTACTGGTTTACTAAAGGACCGGTGGGAAAAATGGATCGATAAATTA